ATTTAAAATTGTTATCTCTTCTTGTTGAAGTGTGCCCTTCACCATTATATAATGACCCTCTTTGTCTTTCACTACTTTTGTTGCTTTAAAAACTAAATCATCTGAAATTAGAACTGACACGCCAGGCTTCTTTTGGCTTCCACTTGCCTGGAATACTGATCTCCACCCTTTTACTTTTAGTCTATATGCATCCTTGCAGGTTAGATGTGTTTCCTGAAGACAGCATATACTTGGCCTGTATTTTCTTATCCGTTCAGCCAGCCTATGTCTCTTGAGTGGAGAGTTTAAGCCATTCACATTTATGAAGAACTGATAGGTAAGGTAGATTACTGTTCATTCTGTTGGGTTGGATGTTGTTGCTTGATTTCTCTCTTGAGCCATTGTATTATCTGGCCTTTAATCTTTGGGTTTTGGTTGTTTTTATATTCCTGAGTTTTTATTATGGTGTTCTGTACATAACACTGTTTTGAGTAGTTCTTGTAGGGCTGGTCTTGTCTTGGTGAATTCTCTGGACTTAGCTTGTCTGAGAATGTCTTTATTTCTCCTTCATATATGAAGATTAGTTTTACAGGGAATAAGATTCTAGGGTGGGCATTGTTTTGCTTCAAAAGAGTGAGAATGGGGCCCCAGTCTCTCCTTGCTTGTAAAGTCTAATTAGAGAAGTCTGGTGATATTCGAATTGGCTTTCCCTTGTATGTCACTTGCTTCTTTTGTCTTACAGCTCTTAGAAGGACCTCTTTAGTTGATACTTTGGTCAGTCTGATGACTGCATGTTGTGACGTCTTCCTGTTTTCATTGAATCTTCCAGGGGTCCTCTGAGCTTCTTGAACTTGTATATTGAGATTTTGAGCAAGGCCTGGGAAATTTTCCTTTATTATATCTTCAAATAGCTTGTCCAACCCTTGGGTGTTGTCCTCTTCCCTTATGGTAACCCTATGACCTCACATTAGTTTCTTCACATAATCCCACATCTTTGTAGGCTTTGCTCTTTTCTCTTGTTTCTCTGCTCTATCTCTGTGATGGGTTTATTTAGTTGGAGGGTGTTATCTTCAATCTCTGAGATTCTTTCTTCTGTTTGATCTACCCTGTTCTTGAGACTTTCCACTGTATTTTGTAGTTCCCTGAATTGATTCTTCATTTCCCGGAGTTCGGTTAAACTTTTCTTCATTGTGTCTATTTCTTTAGTGACTTTCTTTTAGGTCCTGGAGGCTTTTTGTGGTTTCTTTGTGTTGGTTATTGAGTTGTTGTTGCAGGTCAGTGAGTGTTCTTATGATCCACATACAAATTCCTCTTCTGTCATTTTGGTTGCCTGATTTGGTTGGTGTCCGTTTCTAGGGGCTAGTGCTCCTCTGGGTGTGTTTCCGTTTGGCTCTTCATATTTCCTGAGTTCCTTCGCTGATTTCTTACCATGTCGATCAGTTGTTGTTTCTTTCCTTTAGGTTTTTGTTTGGGTATTCACAGGCCTTGTTTAGTTTCTTAGCCAGTAGTTGGTGTCTGTGGGTGAGATTCAACCACTACCTGTATAATGAGTCAGTAGGTGTCCTGCAAAGAGTGTGCAGGATTCTCTCCTTGTCAGTAGGTGGCGCTTGCTTGGAGGAACAGGCTATGCTGTTGTTTTTGTGTCCTGTTATCAGCTCTGTTCTGGCGGAGCTGGGTTGGGTAAGCCTGCCCTCAGGCACCACGAATGCCGAATGCCGAATGCCGTTAGCAGGGGTCAAAGTTCTGTTCTCTGCTTCCAGGGAAAGCTGTCAGGGCGGGGCTGGAATGGTCCCGCTCAGCCAGAAAGTCTGCTTGTAGGGGTGGGGCTGTCTGAGACCCGCAGTCTGGAGCAGGCCTCAACTCCGCAGCTACTCCTGGGCCTCTGCCAGCAGGCCAGACCACACGCCACCAGACCTCCCAGGATTGTGATGCCGGCGGGGAGATTCCCTGCGCAGAAACGCTGCCTGGGCTGGGTGCACGGCCTCCCTTTGGTGGGAGGGTTGCCCTCTAGGACGCTGATCTGCCCCTGGAGGCACACACACCTCAGCAGGCTGTTCACAAATATCCCTTCTGTGCACCGGCAATGCTAGGCCTCGGTGCAGGAGATCTGGTCTGCAGGTCCGACCTCTGGGTCCCAGAGTTCAAACTGTATCCCCACCAGGGATAGGAGTTCCAGTCCCTATTCACCCACAGGGAGCCCAAGCTGTGTCTGTGTCTCTCAGCCTCTGAGTCGGCACCGTTCTTCTAGGAAAACCGTGCCAGCAGCACCTGGGAGGGCTGGCGGGTAGGGAGCTCACAGTCTGAGTTCCCCTTAGTCAGCTGTAGGGTCCCAAAAGGGAAGGTCCCGTTCCCTGGAAGTGCCTCTGGCTGGTGGCTGTATTGTCTCTCTGGGCAGCCACAGGTAGGGTCGGCAGAGGGGAGGAGGAGGCAATATGGCGCCTGCCGCGCGGCTTGGGTTTGTGCACATGGAGGTGCCCCGAGGCATTTGGGAGTCTGGTGCTGCGTCCGCTACAGGCTCACCACTAGCTGGCAGCGGCCGTTTCTGGGCTGGTGTTCGCAGGTCTCTGACACCGCTGGGGAGCCCACCAGCAATCCCAAATGCAGGGGAGGGGAAAGGTGATTTATCCACCTACCCTTCCCGCTGGTCTCCGGGCTGCTCCAGCGGTCTCAGCTTCCAGTTCTCCTCTGCAGCCTCCTCCCGTGGAGTCTCCTGGGGTCTCAGGTACCCTCCTTCTGGCCCTCGTCTGCTGTATGCTCGCCTTCTTGCTTCTTTTTTTCTAATTTCTGCTAGAATCTGTCTTTTCTGTAGAGACACTCTTTCTGGTGGTGTTTCTCGTCTGCCATCTTGATCCTCCTCCCTGCAATTCCAATATCTTTACTTTTTTGATCCTATGACTTTCTAGAATGATTTAGCTATAGCCTTTTAAACATAAAGTTTTGCAAACAAAAAACTTGCTATTTTCTTCTGTAGTCAGAAATCTCTGCCACCAGTACAGGATTTATCCAAAACATGAAATGGTAACACTTGCATGACAAGGGCTGTTCTATCCAGAAACTCTTATAAAAAGGAAGAATAGACTTTGTGTAAAAATATTAAGGCCTCATTTTATTATATTTTATCAAGTCTTTATCTCTTTTGTCCCCCATTAGGATAGTGTCTGTGTAGTTCTGCTATACAATGACTTGTTCTTTGGATATTATTTCTCATTGAAACCAACCACATGTAAGAATCATAAATATTTTAGTTAGCTAAATAAGAATATATAATTGGAAAATAAGATCACAAATAATTTTTAATCAAGAAAAATCACCTGTTAAATACTGTGCTAGGTTATTTTAAAATGTCCATAACACCATACAGCTCCTCCTATCAAAAAGTGGGATCTCTTTCAACATCCCTTGAGTGTGGATTTAGCCATATGACTTGATTTGGCCAATAGGACATAAACAAACACGAAGCAAACAGGCTTGAAATGTGCTTGTGCATCAGGGAGTGTTCTCTGGCTGCTTTTGGAACCCAGCTGTCAGATCAAGAAGCTAGGCTGGCTATGAGTAAATCCAGAAAAAGAAGCATGTCTTGAAAAGAATAGTGAATGCGGACTTTTTCCAATGAAGTAGACTAAATGTGACACATAAAAATCCTTGTCATTTTAAAGGGAGTTGTATGAGCATAGACTGAAAGAAACTGAGACAATTTAAAATAAAAAGTAACTTCTATTTCTAATTTTTTATAGCTAAGAAGAACCCTGCAAAAGCTACTAAGCTAAAAACATGGCCATTTCCTCTAGAAAAGGAAAGTGTCTCAGAAGGCAGAGCCTAAATCCCAGAGGGCTGAGTAGAACAATGGACTAGACTGAGAGTCACTTTGAGGGAGCAGAATATTTTCTGTCCCCAAAGTAAGGGGAACTGGAAACATAAGCCCATCTCAATTCCAGAATTTCTATTGACCAGTGATTGCTACTGCCACCTGGAATTCATTTGTTTCCTGTGGTTATTTTACCTTGGCTCAATATCGAATGTTACGTGAATCTTTTTAGTTTTCAAGTCTTTGAATCAAGATGACCTATATGCAAGTATCCTCACTTGCATTCACAAAGGATACAGATTTGGCCGGGCGCGGTGGCTCACGCCTGTAAATCCTAACACTCTGGGAGGCCGAGGCGGGGATTGCTAGAGGTCAGGAGTTCGAAAATAGGCTGAGCAAGAGCGAGAACCGTCTCTACTATAAATAGAAAGAAATTAATTGGCCAACTAATATATATAGAAAAAATTAGCCAGGCATGGTGGCGCATGCCTGTAGTCCCAGCTACTTGGGAGGCTGAGGCAGTAGGATCACTTGAGCCCTGGAGTTTGAGGTTGCTGTGAGCTAGGCTGACGCCACAGCACTCACTCTAGCCTGGGCAACAAAGTGAGATTCTGACTCAAAAAAAAAGAAAAGAAAAAAAGGATACAGATTACATGATACTGAATTTGAACCTGATGTTATAATTATAATATTAATGAAAGAGACTTGTGGGAGTAAATAATTGTGACCAGAGAGTGGATGGTGATAGAGTAGGGAGGGAGGATGGCAATCCACATTATTTTGCAGCAATTCTCATTAAAAAAATGGAGTCTATTTTTCCACACCTTGAATCCGTGTCTTGGTTATGTGACTTGCTTTGGTCAATGGGACATTAGTTAGTTATAAAGAAGCAGAAGCTTGAAATGAGCTTGAACATTTGAACTTGTTTTCTTGCTGCTTTTGTCGCATAGTCATATGTAAAAGCTTTGGCTAGCCTCCTACATGATGGAAGATATGTGGCTTGCTGGTCCCGTGGCCCTGGCCAACAGCCAGACATGTGAATGAAGCCATCTGGGATGAGACAGTCCCCAGCCAATCTGATAATTGACTGCACATGCATGGGTGAGCCAGGTTCTGAACAGGAGAACTATACAGCAAAATCCTGAGCTAAATACAATTATTATCTCAAGTTATTAAATTTTGGTGTGGCTTATGTAGAAAAAATTCATACAAATAATTTTAAGGAAGCAAAACTTTATTTAGATATTTTCAGTAAGAATTGTTTAATTTTGCTGAGGGTTGGCAAAACTTAATGCTAGTAGTCTCTGGCATAGTCTCTCAGACTAATTCTTATGACCAGAATTCAAAATACATATAGTCCTAGAATGAAAATGAAAAATAAATACAATTAGGTTGATTTAATAGCAGAAACAGCTACAGGCTTTAGACATGAGAATGGTTTCTTGATCCCTATGTTATAATAACGTGATTTTAAAATATATTTAAAAACAGAATTCTGAGGATCAAAACTATGTGGAACCAATTTTTAAGGGCATAAGAGTGATTGATTGTTCTTAAGTACATCAAAATAATAAATTCGAATATACAGGTCATTGGAGAGGAACAACTAATTCTGCATCATTTTATTTGCATTTTTTTCATCCATATTTACTCACTGTAGAAAATTGGAGAAAAAGAAAAGGGAAAGAGTTTTATTTTCAATTCCTCCAATCTACCATTAATATTTTGGTTCAAATTTCTTCCAGACATACATAATTGATGTCATAATGTGCTTTTTAACCACATAAAATCTCCTGTGTATTTATATCATTAAAGTTCTTGGAAAACAATTTGAGTTTTTAGTTTGTTTTAATATCTATTTAATATTCTATTTTAGAGATGTCTTATAATTTGCTTAATAATGGTCATACTTTTAAATTTTATATTAATTTTTGCTCTTTATTTGAAGAAAGTTTGCTACAGAGAGTTTATATTTCTAGCTGCTATAAAGATTATGCATAATTATTTGTTTACATCTGAAAGAATATAAGCATTAAATTTTTGGGTAGATAGCTTGAATTTATTCCCCAAAATTTATACCTGTAGCTCATAAGCACCTGATTCTCTAAACCTTCATCAGCAGTGAGGCCGAAACAGAAACTTTATTATAAGCTAAATAAAAAGAGGTAGTTTATAATTTTTTCTCTTTTGCTTCTCTTTGTGCATTTTAAACAATATTTTCTTGTATTTATTTCTTTTGCCCAAATTTTATATAACTTTACTCATATTCTGTCCCTCATATCTAGTTAAAATTGAGATGTGTGAGTAAATTCCCCATTATGATGATGGGTTTGTAACTTTCTAATTTTTAAAAATTTTTCTCTATATTTTTAGGTAAATATTAGGTGCATACATATCTAGAGTTATTATCTTATTTGAACCAAACCTTTATCATCATGTAGTTACCCACTTTGTCTTTGTCTCTAATGTATTTTGTCTTAAAGTCTATTTTTTTCCCCTAGTATTAACTTAGCTTCCTTAGCTTTCTTGTGATTAACATTTACCTGCAACCTTTTATCCATATTGTCTTTCTTTCAATTTTTTGGTCATTATTATAGGTTTGTCTTTTATAAGGAAACTACAGATACTTTAAAAATCAATTATGATGGTTTCTGTCTTTTAACTGGTGAGGTTTTTTCCATTTACATTTATTGTACTTATTTTAAAAGTTTGCATGGAATTTATTTGACATTTGATACAGCTGGATAGGTTGATATTTAAATTTCTGTTAGCCGTATTTACTCTATGCTTTTTCTTTTCTTTCTTTTTTTTTTTTCCTATGCTTTTTCTTATTTCTTGTTCCTTTCCCCAATGGATTTTTGGTTGTTTGTTTGCTTGCTTGTATTATGTTCTCATTTTTTTCTCTCTACTAGTTTAAAATTTATACAGTCCTTTTTGTTGTTTCAGTGGCTACCCATGAAATTTTAAAATACATATTTAATTTAGTTCTACTTCCTGAGCAATACAAAGACCTTAAAGCATTTTAATTCTAACCTCTCTCTTACAGCTTACATACTTTGTTAGCTGATATTTTAGGTGTACTTCATTTTGACTTCAAAAATTAGACATTTGCTATTATTTTATTTGTAAAATAAAATCACAAATATGTTTAACATTTTATTTGCTCTTAAATTTTATTGCATTTCAGATGATTCATCTGAGATTATGTTCCTTCTTCCTGAAGTATAGTAAGTCCTCAGTTAATGTCATGTCTTCAACAGGCTCTTGAAAATGGCAACTTTAAGCAAAACGATATAAAAAAATCTATTTTTTTCTCATCAACGTTATAACAAAACATTGAACAAAATGAGATTATTTGAGGACCTGAAGTATGCCATTTCACTTAAAATCATAGTTTCCAAGAACCCACTAACAACATTAAGAGAGGACTTACTATATCTCCTTAAAAAATGAGATCTATGTGTTGTAGAACTCTTTTAAAATTAGAAATGTCTTTATTTCACACTCATTCTTGAGAGATAGTCTTAAAGAAAATAGAATTTTAGAGCTAAGCGTTTTTAATTAGTATTTTGAAGATATTATTTTACTCTCTTCTGGCTTCTAGTATTTCTGTCAGGTAATTAGTTGTAAGTCTAATTACTTGCAGATTATCTGTCTTAAATTTTTGGTTGCTTATTTTTCTTTGCTCTTCTCCTGCTTCATTCTGATTTATATAGATATTAATTTTTAATTATACTATTTGGAATATATTGTCCTCTTTGGATAAGTGAATTCATGTTTCTCACTTCTGGAAATTTCTTAGCAGTTATTTATTCTCTATTATGTCAATTTTCTTCATTTAAAACCCTTGACTTTCATATTTTCTTGTCTATCTATACTGTGTTTATGAATAATTTCCTCCACTATCTCTCTCAATTCACTAATTTTTCCTCATCTACATCTGTTCTTTATCTGCTCTTTTAAGCTGCTTATTTTCTGCTTTCTTAAATTCCTTGATACTACTGACAAGGCCATATAGACCTAGCCCTGTATACCTCTCCTGACATTTACTGTCATTTCATAATATTTGAGGTAGGAAGGTAGTTACTTATGATCATTTTGCCCCTAGGATTCAGTTATAATCAAGAATGACATTTTTCTTTTAAAATTTTCTACATATCTGCTATGGCCTGAACATTTGTGTCCTTCCAAAATTCATATTGCAACTCAATCTCAATGCATTAGTATTAAGAGGTGGGGCCTTTTGGAGGTGGCTTGGTTATGAGACCCACCCCCATGAATGGATTAGAGTCCTTATGAAAGGGCTCAAGAGAACTAGCTAATCCTTTTGCCTTTCTGTCTTTTCTGCTGTGTGAGGACAGTGTTCTCCTCTCTGGAGGATGCAGTGTTCAAGGCACCATTGTAGAAGCAGGGACTATGTCCTTACCAGACATTGTACTTACTTGGTGCCTTGATCTTGGACTTCCCAGCCTCCAGACTGTGAGAGATAAATTTATGTTGTATATAAATTATTCAGTCTCAGGTGTTTTGTTATAGGAGCATGGATGAACTATGACAATATCTACAGTTTCCAAATTAACAAAATGTTACTTTTTAAATAAAATGTAAATGAAGTGTATTAATAAAATTTTAAATTGTGGGAAATAACTATAAGATACATTTATTGAGCCATTTTGTTTCTATTTTCAGTGACTTAGTCTGATTTTTCCTGAAGGTAAAGGATTTAAATTTCAATGATCATGTTTCTAGGACACTGTAGTTTTTGCTTCCTTTAAAATGTGCATACTGAATCCATGATGTAATTTAGAGACCGAGGACTAGGCTAAAAGGCAAAATTTGCAATTTGACCCAAATGATTTAAAGAGAAATATTAGCAAAGGTGTAATGGTAATCTCGGGAAATGTAATTTTCAGTTAAATAGAATAAAAATGGACTCACAATAAGAAAACTTGCTCCAAGTATCAACGCTTTCATTTTAACATCAAGATCAAATGGAAACTGGATCCCAAACGTATTACCATTCCTTAATAGTCTTCTCACAAATCCAGGGTAGGGCTTTGAAATCTTTCCAATAACCATTTGTTCATCCATAGGCAACAACTAAGAGAAAAAGAAAAAAAAATATATATATATATATATAATCTTAGGAAAAAATTTCTGAAATAAAAAAGATTTTCTACACCAAATTTATTAAATAATATGAACTGGATGAGTTATAGTCATACTGATTATACCCTAAAATTAAAAGAATATGCAAAATGGACATATAATAGCCTGGAAAAACATCTATAGAAAGTTTCTACCTATTAAAAGTAGATTTTCAAATAGTGTACAACTGACTGTATCTAATCTGTATGCACACACACTTAATTTGTATAATTTTTTAAATTTAATAGGAGAATCAATTTAATTACAATATGAAAACCACAGCTTTTCAGCTCTTTTACCCAGTTAACTAAGCTATGGTAAGTGATTTTAATATTCTGGATCCCTTTATCTTTTCCTCATTCCCTTTTCTCTCTTACCCATCTAGACTCCCTAGAGCATTACTTCTCATACCAGGTAATATTCATTCCTTCAGAGTAATAGATGCTCATGTAAATACTAAACAACAAACCTGGGATAAATTCCACTACTTGCCTTGTAACGAGTGCCATAAGGAAAAGGTAGAGTGATATGATGAGGTATAATAGGGAGGTAATAAGCAGACTAAACAAAGCGGGGGGGATGGTTTTAAGAAAGCTGCTTGGGAGCAGCATTATTTAAGTTGAGACTTGGAAGATCATAAAGAATTAGTGAAAGGAGGAATAGGAAGACAGAGAGCATTCCAGAGGGAGTTCACAACATGAGAAAAGGCCCTGAGTTAGGAGGGACTATAGCTGGATCAGAGTGAGTGAGGGAGCTCATGTAGAAAATGAGTGAGACAGAGAGGTATGCTGGGCTGGGTGGGTCATACACATCCTTGTTAGTAGTGTTAAGGTATTTGGGAAAAGAGAAATATGGAAGAGTTTTAAATAATTATGTCCAAACTTTGTTACTCTTTTCACAACTCTGAACCCACCATTCTACCTCATCCTCAGCAAAACATCTTATCGCATACATTACAGAGAAAATAGGAGCTACGAGACAGGAACTTACTAACCAGACACCAGCCCTACAAACTGATTGTATTCATACCAGTACTTCTTACTTCTTTTCTGTTCTGATAAATGTGCTATCTCTAAGCCTATTTGAGATTAATTTTCTATGTGTCATAGGTCCCATACCAAGTAAGAAACTGGGTTCCTCAAGTATTCATCCTTTCCTGTATCTTCATACATTCTCTCCCATTGACTCCTTTCCTTTAAGATCAAAACCTGCTAAGGACATACTTTTCTGATATCTCCTCTTCCACCCTGTGCCCTCATCCAGTCAGAAATAGGATTAGGGTAAGGCAGTGAGACAAATCATGCAAGTGCATGGTCAGTTATTGTCTTCATTTAATTGTTTTATTTGTTTATAATAAAATTTTTACATTAATTTTGATTTAAAAAATGTATTCAGCTGTCACTTACCTTAAATACTGATGATTTTTGGTGTTCCCTTAAATTTTATACCTGAGATAAAGCCTCACTCTAGTTCTGACCCTGTAACTAGCTACTACTTTACCTCTCTCCTGTTCTTCATAGGCAAAAATATTAAAATAATTGTCCACATTCACACACAAGAGGACTTTCTTACAGAATGAAGATCTCCCTTTCTTTTTCCTCATTCTTGTAGCTTACCCAAGAGTGTCAGATTTAATATTGTTTTGCTTCAAACTTAAAAGTAGGAAGTGTGTTATTCACCTTAGAAAAAGTTTTGAAGATGTTAGAATGAAGTAGGATTTGTTGTATTATACTTTGAAATATAAAACCATGTACAAAAAGCATTTTATTATTTGATGTCAGTAAAAAATGAGCCAAGGTGGCTTTGGCTTCCAGAGTTTTATGCATTGACCACTCTGTTGCTTTGGTTTCCAATTTGAAATATATTAGTCTTGTGTGCTTTTATTATTTTCCAAACTAACCATATTGTTACAATTAATTTGCTTAAGTATGTTTTACTTAATCAGTATAGGCAGATGCCAATCAGAATCCATATCACTAAACTGAATTGACATAATTCTAGAGAAGGAAAGAAATCAGGTAGTATTTTAGTTAGGCTGTGTCCAGATTTCTGACTAGACATTTCAGGTATTAAAAAAATAAACAAGCCGAGTACAGTGGCTCACACCTATAATCCTAGAACTCTGGGAGGCCAAGGTGAGAAGATCACTTGAGATCAGTTCAAGACCAGCCTGAGCCAGAGGAAGACCCCCATCTTTACCAAAAAATAGGAAAATTAGCCAGGCATGGTGGAAGATGCCTATAGTCCCAGTTACTTGGGAGGCTGAAGCAGGAGGATCACTTGAGCCCAGGAGTTTGAGGTTGCAGTGAGCTATGATGACGCCATTGCACTCTAGCCGGGTGACAAATAGAGACAGACTCTGTCTTCAATAAACAAACAAACAAGCAAACAAACAAACATGTCTTGATGAAAGTTTAGGAAGCATGGCTTTTTGCAGACATAATATGTTATTGAACCATCACAATATTCTTTGTTGCTTAGGAATCTTTAGATTTCAATAAATGTAGTGAGTTATTTAATATTATCAAATGTAGTTAGTATATTTAATAGTTAACTTCCCAAATTATTATCTAGATGCTGGCCATAATCTGAGAAATAAATTACTACACATATAAAATTTTAAAAAATTATATTATACAAATTTCAGAATTTTATAAAAATGAAAACTGTATTAATAACCATTAATATATATTATATATCATTAACACCAGATTATGTCATTGTACATTGCAATAAAGTTTAATTTTCTCTTTCAATATTTCTTGAAATCTTAAATGCCACACTTGTTGTTTGATAACTATATACTAAAAAGATAGCTTTAAAAGATCCCTTATAAGCTACATAAACTTATAGAACTTAATTGGGCAAGAACACTGTTAATTAGTAATTTTGTTTAAAGTCAAATAGTTATAGTAACACCATAATAATACATTTTTAGTTTTCTTCAATCATATTTTTGATTGTATGTATTAGAAAACAATCAAATAACTAATTTGAACATGATAATATTAAAACATGAATTACTCACATTAAAATTTAGATTGGTGAGACAGCAGAAAAGCACACATGGCCCTCTTATTTTCATTATATCTTCCTTATTCTCATTTTTTATTTTAAACTTTGGAAAAAATGGGTGAAAGTATTGGTAAACATATCCAATTGTTTCACCAGGTGGAGACTCAACTTTTAGCTATAAAAGATTAAAAAATATAATATTGATCCAATGAGATATATTTGTAAGTAACACTGTATTTAGTTATGTGCTATTAATACCTTTTAACTCAGCATTTTGTATATTTTAACAGAACTTATTGTGTTTAAAGCATGCTTTATATTTGAGAATAAACATGGAAGGCATATGATCCAGGTTTTAGATGTTAAGATCTTTAAGATCTGACTCTGCTGCTTACTAACTGCTTGAAATGTGGACAAGTCATTAATGTTTCTAAAATTCACTTACCATTTGCAAAAGAGGGATAATAGTATCCTTCTTTAGGTACTTGTACGGATTACTTATAAATTGCCATCTCCATGAGATGTTACTTAAATTCCAATCACACCAAAAACAGTTTATTAACAAACACTTCCATACATCTTTGACAATGCAAATATGAATTCATTGGAATTCTTTATCCCCATTGTTATTTAAAGCCAAGTTTATAAGAATCCATAGAAACTGGTTGAATACATTATGATTATACATATAATGTATTATTATGCAGCCATTTAAAGGAACATAGGAGGTCTATACATTCTGATAAAATCTTCAAGTTATGGTGTAATGTGTTAAAAGGAATTGTGGGAAAATGCTACCAATTGTATGAAATGCACACAGATAGCATAAATATGCTATGCTAATGTAATATACAAATTCTTATAGAATAACTATGGAAGAATACATAAGAAACTCATAATAGTAGTTGTATCTGAGGAGGGATATAAGAGGCCTAGAAAACATGCATTATTTATGAGAGACATTATTTTTCCTGAATATAATTCTGTTAGCTTTCTTTCTTTTCTTTGTTTCTTTCTTTTCTTACTTTCTTCTTTGTTTCTCTCTCTCTCTGTGTCTCTTTCAACAGAGTAAAGTTACACTGGAACCTGCCCTCAAAAATAGAAATTCTACCTGATATTTATTTTGAAATACATTTTTAAAAGGGATAGAAGATATAAATAAGCAGTATTCATCAGAATTAGAAAAGCTCAGAAATAAGGTAAAGATGAAGAGAGAAAATGAAGAGAACATAAAAGAGATTGGGCAAAGCTAAAAAACAGAAAAAGGAAAAATTATTTCAGAAATAAGAATTTATCTAGAAGGAACACAAGTACAAAGGATTACACAGAAATTATCATACAAATGTAGAAGATAGTGTAAGAAGGTCCAACATATGTCTAAGAGTCCTCCCAAAAGAAAAAAAGTAATGAAACAGAATAAATACTAAAAGCTATAATTCAATATGATTTTTTTAAATAAAAGAAAAAAGTGATTCTATCAACTTAATGGGCATATGCCTAAAGAATAAGCAACCTAAAATGCTCAACACTGAGATAAGTTCTACAGAATATGAAAATTAAAAAAAAAAAATTTGGAGAAATTTAGTCAAAACCATCAAGTTACTTATAAGAAGGCTAATGTGTACTTTATTTTATATATGGATAACTTTAGAAAGAAAAAGAGAGCACTATTAGGATATATTGACAATAGCATTAAACTAGGATTATCCCAGGTAACTTGATACATACAGTCATATTACTTATAGGAATAACAAAATCAGATTGGCAATAAAGCTTTGGATAGTAATTTATACTGCATGACAGAAGATAGTGGGTTAATATGTTAAATATTCAGGAAAAGACAATGTGATCCAAGGAACTTCCTTTTGACATACATAGTTAATGAACAAACTGTTATGACCCTGAAAGAGCTCAAGGAATATTATTACTTTGAGCCCTTCCTGAGAAACTTTGCTGGAATGATGTATAAAAAACTAAAATGAATTGGCAGTCTTTGGCACTAAATGATAAAAATAAGATGGACAGAATGTTACATAATGACTATATATACACCAACAATGTACAATAGTATAGGTATCCAAAATGTGTGGTCTAAATGATAGGGAAAATTGTGACAGAATAGTTTAGAGTGATTATATATGTTATTAGCAATGTATCTAAAATGCAACTCTCAAAATAATGGGTTGGGGAAGTTCCATTTTCAGAAATAATTCTGAGAATGGAAACTGGGAGAATAGAAATATTGTGAGTCTATATTTAGAAAAATGGAATATCACTAGTTGTGTTCCCTATTTTTTATGGCAGCTTATTTGAGGGTTGGTCCCAGTTAGTGCTGGTGAAAATTTGAATACAAATCTGCAGTCTAACTGGTTGAAAAATCATAGAACAGAGATGAAAGAAAGGATAGAGACAAAGAGAGGCAGCCCCATTATGTGTGCATAATTGTTCCTATAGACACACTAGATATAGACTGATAGAATAACCCATAGATGAAGTAAAACATCTAAAGAAAAATTAGAAAATATTTGAGCTGAATAAAAATTAAAACAGAAATTATCAAATTTATAGCCAAAGTAATGCTGATAAAAATATATATTTAGCTTCAAATGTTTATATAGGAATTAAAGAAAGATTGAAAGCCCATGACAAAAGTTTCCATTTTTAAGAAGCTAAAAATGTTGTAGAATAAAGGAAATAATAAATAGTAGAGGAAATAAATCAACGAGGTAGGTAATGGACAAAAAAAAAAAAAAAAAAGGAAAACTAAAACCGAATTTTTAAAAAAAAAACAAAAAAAATTAATAAAACAAAAAAGAAAAAAAAAGAAAACAGAAATTACTAATGTCAGAAATAAAAAAAGGGGGCATTACTATATAATCTTCAAACTTAAAAGGATAGTAAGGAAATATGTAACAACTTTATGCCAATAAATTTAACAACTTAGATGGACAAATTATTTCAAAATCACAAATTATAAAAATAGACTTAAGAAATAGAAGACCTGAAAATCTCTATATCTCTTAAAGAAGCTTTGAATTTAAAACTAAAATCCTTCACATGTACACAACTCCAGTATAAAATGGCTTAACTGCTGAATACAATCCAATATTTAAGAAAGATATAATACCAATCCTACACAAACTGATTCAGGAAAGAAAGAAATAAGAAAAAATTGCAAACTCTTCTTATGAGACCAACATCATCCTAATATCAAATCCATACAAAGAATTAAAAGAAAACTATAGACTTAAATATTATAAACACAAACCTAAAATATTATCAAACTGAATCCAGCAATATATAAAAATAACATGTTCAGGTAGAATGTATCCCAGCCCTTGGGCTGAGTTCAAGGTACCACAACTGAAGCTGCCACCTACTGGAAAGGGACAGGGGAGACCAAGCTTTCCTAAGCACACATAGGACAAATCCCACTGCCCCATTACAGGCAGCTATGGGACTAGGGACTAACTTGCCCATCCCACAACAGTTACCAGCAACACCAACACAAACCACTAGGTTCCCTCCACTGCTATTTCCACCTCCCACATCACACTAGTTGATGAAGGACATAAGAACCCATCCTACACATGCAGCCCTCTGCTTCAACTACTAGTTTCTGAGAAAGCCATCTGAAGACCCAAGAATTGCCCCCTAGGACACACTAACACCACTGGCAATGTAAGCTCCTCTGGGGTCTAAAATTGGGCAACCTACTGCTTCTACCATTAGGGACCAAAGATTGGCTCAGCTGCCATTCAAGTCTCTGGCAAAACTTCACCACAGACTCAACCAATATTTGTTCCCTAAACCACCAAGGAAATTACAGCTGCCATTAACACTGTGTATTCCCCAAGAAATCATACAAAGATCACATTACTGCAGACACCCCAAATTAAAGCTGAAATGTCCAACTCAACCATTAGTATATTCACATCTTCAGGAAAAAAATCATAGCAAGCAACTGCTACATCAGAAGGGAAAATATCAATGGAAAGATACATGACAAAGCAAGGAAATATGATACCACCAAAGGATCAAAACAATTGTCCAGCAACAGATCCCAATAAAAATGAATTCCTTGTGAAGCCAAATAGAGAATCCCAAACATTGATTCTAAAGAAGCTCAATGAGAAGGAAGAGAAATCTGAAAACCAATACAAAGAAATGGGAAAATCAATTCAGGATATGAATGACAAATGTTTCAAGAAGATAGATGTCATAAAACAAACAAACAGAAATTCTGGAGCTGAAAAATTCATTGAAGGAAATACAAAACACATTTGAAAACTTCAAGACTAGATTAGACCAAACAGAAGAATCTCAGTACTTAAAGACAGGTCTTTGGAAATAATGCAGTCAGACAAAAAATAAGGAAAAAAAGAATGAGCCAAATCTTCAAGATGTCTGGGACTATATAAAGTGACCAAACATATGAATTATCAGTATTCACTAGGGGGAAGAGAGATTAAAAAAAAGTTTAGAAAAACTATTTAAGAAAATAATTAAAGAAAACTTCTCAGGACTACCAGCAGAGTTAGACAATCAGATATAAGAGGCCCAATGAAGCCCAGGCAAATATGTTGCAAAAAGGTCTTTACCATGGCATATTATAATCAGAATGACTCAAGTTGAAGTCAAAAAGAGAATTTTAAAGTTAGCAAGAGAAAAGCATTTAGTTATGAAGGAAATCCCATTAAATCCCATCCTATCTATGAAGGAAATCCCATTGAACTAACAGCCAACCTCTCAGCAGAAACCTTACAGGCCACAAATAGAATGGGAAGGCATATTCATAGTGTTGAAAGAAAAAAGTGCCAACCAAGAATTTTATATCCTGCCAGAATTAGCTTCATAAATGAAAGAAAAATAGTCTTTCCCAGACAAGCAAGATAATTGATCACCATTAGGTTGGCCTAAATACTTAAAGGAAACTTAAACATGGAAATGATACGACAGTATTCACCATCATGAAGATATGCAACATAAAACTCACAAGTCTTACACAGTCACACAAAGGAATTAAATGGCAACATCACAGAAGTTCAGAACACAACAAAGATAAAAAGGCAAGGAAAAAAGAGAAACAAATAAATTATAATGCAACTAGAAATCAATTAACAATATAACAAGAAAAAAGCCTCACATATCAATTTTAACCTTGAATCTAAATGTAAAAGATGTAAAATGTAAAAATGTAAAATGTAAAAAAATATAGATTGTCAGGATCAATTAAAAAAAATTATCGCCGGGCGTGGTGGCTCACACCTGTAATCCTAGCACTTTGGGAGGCTGAGGCGGGCGGATTGCTCAAGGTCAGGAGTTCGAAACCAGCCTGAGCGAGACCCTGTCTCTACCAAAAATAGAAATAAATTAATTGACCAACTAAAAATATATATACAAAAAATTAGCCGGGCATGGTGGCGCATGCCTGTAGTCCCAGCTACTTGGGAGGCTGAGGCAGTAGGATCACTGAGCCCCAGAGATTGAGGTTGCTGTGAGCCAGGCTGATGCCATGGCACTCACTCTAGCCTGGGCAACAAAGTGAGACTCTGTCTCAGAAAAAAATTATCCAACAATATGTTGCTTATAAGAAACTCAGCCATAAAGACACTGAAAGTAAAGAGATGGAAAAAGATATTCCACACAAACACAAACCAAAAGAGAGCAGTAGCTATACTTATATCAGGTAAAAAACTTAAATCAAAAGAGTAAAAGAAAAAGAAAAGTCATTATATAACCAAAAAGGTATCAACCTAGCAAGAGGATAGAATGATCCTAAATATATACTCATCCAGTATCAGAGAACTCAAATTCGCAAAACAAATATGACTAGACCTAAAGAAAGAGATAGACAGCAACACAATAATAGTGGGTAACTTTAAAATTCCACTCACAGCAGTAGACAGATCAACACAGAAAATCAACAAAGAAACATTGGATAAAAATTGGATTTTAGACCAAATGGACTTACTAGACAAGATATGTTTACACAGAGACCTATATATGAACTTTTAGAGTAGCTTTGTTCATAATAGCAAAAACTTGGAAAAAAACCCTATAAACAAATGTATAGCTCATATCTTATTCTAAAGAATAAAAACTTGCCTCTGATAAGATGCTGATTGTGACCTGTAGTAGTAGTATTGCAAATTTTACAATTTAATATTTTCTTGCTTCCTCAACATCCCCACAACAGGCTGTGAGCATCCCGCCCAGGTGACCAGATGCTCCAGTGTGATAAGGCTGGCCACTGCTACACATTCCCCTTCTTGCCTACACCTGACTGTGACCTAGTGACATTCAAATGAACCAGTGAAATCCCATCAAGACTTCAGCTTGTTTATTTCATTCTGACCCCCATTAAAGGCACTTCCTCAAAGGTCTTAGTTCTCTTTCTCTGCTCCCCACCTGCTTGGTTCCCCCATGTGGCACCCTCGTGGTTTCCAGTGCCTCTGTATCTCTAGGACCCTCTTGCATGTCCCCTGCGTTCTCCCTTGTGACTGCACCTAGCTGACCATCTCATGAAATAATACAAAACAATAGTATAGAGACATTCCAAGAACTATAAAACTGATAATCTCAAAACTGTCAATTATCTACATCACAAATGACCACAGGTCAGAGATGAAGCCTTGGATAGATGTTTCAATATTTTAGAATAGAAAACATCTAAAGATCTTGTGACTTTCATTGCCCCCCCCCAAAAAAATTACAGAGTTGTGCACGATTCTCACCCTGCAGGTATACAGTATAAAAATTCAGTCCTCACTCTGACATTTTTCATTCCAGACAATCCTTTGTAACCAAACCCAATGCTTAAATTTTATCATAGTGTCCAGTGTTGAGGATTACTGAAGCAATGCAAATACATTCTAAATCACATGGAATAGATTTACCTTTTGTGGGTAGCAGCTACTCCAGCAACAGCTACATCTTAGAGCTTTATGAAGAGCAATTACATCCCGACCTACATTATCATAAATTGTCATAGTAAAAGGCCTTGAAGAACCACAAAGGCATTGAAGAAACCAGTTATATCTCTCTTCTGCAAAATAAATTCTCTGTCCTTGATTGTTCATGATTTCATATGTTTTACTAGTTTCCAAATTACTGAGAACTAAAGAATAAAACAACATGATGGTTTATTAGTAATGTTAATGAATGACTTGCATAAACTGCATATCAGATAACTTTCAAATACGGAAATTATCTTGGGTAATAAACAGGTTGGCTTTAGGTAACTTATCTTCATTGGTATCTTTGTTTCTAGAAAAATTAAAGAGACAGGCTAGCAACTCTCTGGTTCCCTTTACTGCTAAAATTCTATGTATAGATTTTTTGTATCATTTTTTAATTTCAGAGATGTTAACCCATTACTATTATGTTTTAAGTTATGCTAAATTTTACCCCTCTTCATCTTTTTCTTCCTGGATTTGAAAAATATTTTATTGGAACTCCAATCTGGATATTGGAAACCAAGAAGAATATTTTAATTATGCTAAATTGAGGGAACTTGGATGAACATGAAATGATATCAAATTCACCTCTTTTGCAAGCAAATGGGGATATTATTATTTTTGTTCTGATAATTCACTTCTGTGATTATACAAACAAAATAATCCCAAAATTAAAAAAAAGAAAGTTTTAGGCACCAAATGTTCATTACCATACAATTTAGAGCAATAAAAAAGGTAGAAATAAAGTATCCAACAACAAGAGGCAATATGTAGTATCCCACATGAGGATTATTAAAATGCTGGGGTTTTATGATTTAAAAAATTAGGTGCATAAATATAAATGTGGCATGGACAATGATTAAAAGTGATTTTTTAAAAATCCTAACAAATAACAAAGAAGTCTTCAGAGAAAATGAATCAGTAGTTGTGTGTGAATGATTGTTTGCTCCCACTTTTTAATTTTTTCAAATGAGTATGTTTTTAGTGAGTATATATTATATTACTCTAATATACATCTAACATTCTGTTTTAATGCTAAACTTTGAAACAGGTAAGTACAGAATTTCCTCATGTTTAATTACTTAGTGGGCATATGTACACAATTCTGTTTTTATATTGTATCAACATATTTAAAAGGTACGCATTTTAATATGATGTCGAAAGCTAAAGCATGGTTCAAAACTTAAGAAAAGGCCGGGCGCGGTGGCTCACGCCTGTAATCCTAGCACTCTGGGAGGCCGAGGCGGGCGGATTGCTCGAGGTTGGGAGTTCGAAACCATCCTGAGCGAGACCCCGTCTCTACTAAAAATAGAAAGAAATTAATTGACCAACTAAAAAATATATATATACAAAATTAGCCGGGCATGGTGGCGCGATGCCTGTAGTCCAGCTACTTGGGAGGCTGAGCAGGAGGATCACTGAGCCCAGGAGTTTGAGGTTGCTGTGAGCTAGGCTGACGCCACGGCACTCACTCTAGCCAGGGCAACAAAAGTGGGAGTCATGTCTCAAAAAAAAAAAAAAAAAAAAAAACTTAAGAAAAGGCTGGGCGCTCACGCCTGTAATCCTAGCTCTCTGGGAGGCCGAGGCGGGCGGATTGCTCGAGGTCAGGAGTTCGAAACCAGCCTGAGCAAGAGCGAGACCCTGTCTCTACTATAAATAGAAACAAATTAATTGGCCAACTAATATATATACAAAAAATTAGCTGGGCATGGTGGCGAATGCCTGTAGTCCCAGCTACTTGGGAGGCTGAGGCAGGAGGATTGCCTGAGCCCAGGAGTTTGAGGTTGCTGTGAGTAGGCTGCGCCACGGCACTCACTCTAGCCTGGGCAAGAAAGCGAGACTCTGTCTCAAAAAAAAAAAAAAAAAAAAAAAATTAAAAAATAAAATAAAATTGATTTTTTATGAGTAGGAATTCTATAAACATGGCATAAATTTTAAAAATGCAAAAGAGGGTACCCAATTGAAAATAATTTTTCCTCTAGTCCTATTCTATTTCCTTCCTTTCCCAATTTCATACGTATCCTTTCAGAGATATACCAAGCATATGCACAATCTCTCTATATTTTAAACACACACATGCGCACACACACAAACTACTACATACTCTGGTAATTGTTTTTTATTCTTAGCAATACACTCTGAAGATATTCCTGGAAATTCTGTACAGCTGTCTCATTCTTTTAAATAATTTCAGTGTTAAATTATATGAAAGTATCCTCATTTAGAGCAGTAGTTCCCAAATTTTAGCCTGCATCAAATTCACCTGAAAGGTTCTTTACAGCACAAATTATTGAACTTCACCCGTGGATTTTCTGATTTCAATGGGTCTATTATGGAGGCTGGGAATTTGCACTTCTAACATGTTCCCAGACGATGTTGATGCTGCTGTTCCAGGAATGATACTTTGAGAATCACTAGTTTGGAGAATTAGTTCCCTATACATGGATGTTTAGATGTTTCCCAATATTTTTTCTATTTTTGTGACTTCTTAAATTATGAGTAACTATGGCAGTTTCCCTCCTTTGAATTCCCACAGCTAGATTTTACCTCTCTCATAACTTTTATGACTCCATACTATATATTTTATTTAAGTTTGTCTAAGTCCATTTTGTATTGCTATAACAGAATACCACACTCTGGGTAATTTCTATAAAATTATCTTTTTTTAAAGTTTAAGAATCTCTTATCGTCTTACACCATTTTGACAATGCTTATAGTTTAATATTGTAGCATATATATAAAATATATACATATTCTGATTTTCAGTTTCTAATTGAGTCAGTTTTTATTATTATATTCCTTTTTCTAGGAATTTGACCATTTTCACTGAGTTTTTCAAAACTATTTGCATAAATTCTATATTCTCTTATTTCACACAGTTTGGAGGCTGGGAAAATCTAAGGTTGAGGATCTGACATCTCTGGAAAGTGCCTTCTTGCTGCATGGTGAGAGAGCATGTGAGAGGAGAGGAAGGAGACTAAACTTATTCTTTATCAGGAATCCATTCCTTTGAAAATGAATCCACTCCTGCAATAATGACATTAATTCATGAATGTGGGTAGAGCCCTCATGAGTTAACTACCTCTTCAAGTTTCCCACTTCCCAACACTGTTGCATTGGGAATTAAGTTTCCAACACATGAAGTTTGGAGGACACATTCAAACCACATTCCACCCCTGGCCCCAAAATTCATGTCCTTCTCACATGCAAAATATTCATGCTATCCTAATAGTCCCCAAATCTTAACTCAGCACAGATTCAATTCACAAGTTCAAAGTTCAGAGTCTAAACTGAATCATATATGGGTGAAACTCAAGGCACAATAGGTCTCCCACTGTGAGCCTCTGAACTTAAGAAGTTATCTACTTCTAAAATACAATGTTGGGACAAGCATAGAATAGACATTCCCATTCCAAAAGGGGGAAATAGGCAAGTAAAAAGGAGTAACTGGTCCCAATTAAGTCCAAAATCCAACAGGTAAAACAATCTTAGGTCTTAAATCTGGAGAATAATCTCCTTTGATTCCATCCATGTTCTGCATCCTAGACACACTGGAGGGGGAGTTGGGCCCCCAAAGCCTCAGGCAGCCTTGCCTCTGTGGCTTTGCTGGACACAGTCCACCCAACAACTCTTATGAGTTGGAGTCTCATGCCTGTAGCTTTCCCAGCCTGGAGTTGTGTGATGGTGGCCCTACAGTTCTATGGTCTCGAGAACTGCCCTACTCTCACAACTCCACTGGGCATTGCCCTTGTGGGTTTTTCTGTGGCGGCTCTGTCCCTGTGAAAAGTATCTGTCTGGGCCTCCAAGCTGTCTGTGACATTCTTTGAAATCTAGATGGAGGCTGCCATGGCCCCACAGCTCATGTACTCTGCACATCTGCAGATTCTGCACCATGTGGTTGTCACCAAAGCTTACCATTTGTGCCCTCTGGAGTTACACTTGGGCCCAATTTAGCCATGCCTGAGATGGCTGTGGGGGGCTGCACTGGAATGGGAGGAGCAGAGACCCAAATTGGCCCTGTGCAATGAACTTGTTTATGGTACCTTGCACCCATCTCCCCAAACCATTCCACCTTTTTAAAGCTCTGAGCCTGTGATGGGAGAGGCAGCCTGGAGAGCTCTGAATGCCTTGGAGGTCATTCTCCAATCATCTTGATGAACAGTACTTAGCTACCTTCTATTGTGCCAATCTCCTTAGCAAACCATTGTTTGGCCACACCCTTGGTTTGTTCTCCTCAACACGTATTTTTTATTCTTTGCATGTCCAGGCTGCAAATTTTCTAAATCTTTCCATTCTGCTTCTGTTTGAATTATAGATTTTATCTTTAAATCATTTCTTTCCTTTCACATCTTTTTATATGTGGTTAAAGGAGCCATGCAGTTCCTTCAATATTTTGCTTAGAAATTTCTTCTGCCAGATACCCTTGTTCATTGCTATTAAATTATACCTTCCATAAAGCCCTAGGGTCTGCTGAACATAGTTGTATCAAGTTTTTTGCAACTTTATAACAAGGTTGGCCTTTATTTCAGTTTCCAATACCTTGTTCCTCATTTACACCTGAGACCCCATTAGAATTTCCTTTACCATGTATATTTCTACAACATTCTGCACACAGTCCCTTTATTAATACTTTGAGAAGTATGAGATTTTCCCTACTCATATTCTCTTCTGTGCCCTTAATGCTTACTTCAGGGCAATCTTGACTTTTTCGAGCTTGCTCCTCCAAACTCTTCCAGCCTCTACCCATTTCCCAGTTCCAAAGCTGCGTCCACATTTTCAGGTATTTGCTATAGAAACAATCTCACTTCTCAGTACCAATTTTCTGTGTTAGTCTGTTTTGTGTTGCTATAGCAGAATACCATAGACTAGGTAAATTATAAAGAACAGAGATTTATTTCTCAAAATTCTAAAGGCCAGAAAGTCTAAGATCCAAGGGCTGGCATCTGGTGAGGGCCTTCTTGCTGAGCCATGATATGCTTGAAGGTATGACATGGCGAGAATACTCATGAGAGAAGGGAAAGAAGGGGGACAAACTCATTCTCTTATCAAGAACCCATTCCCACTCCTGAGATTATGGCATTAATTCATTCATGAGGGCAGAACCCTCAAGACCTAATCACCTCCTTAAAGGCCCCACCACTCATCATTGTTACATTGGTAATTCAGTTCCTAGTAGAAGAACTTTAGGGGACCCATTCAAACCACAGCAAATATCATCATCCTTCCCATTTCCAAGCAAGCCCTCTGGAGCAAACCCGAATCTGACTCTTTGGCTAGCATATTCCTTGTTCATTGTAGGTACACAATGTGGTTTCTGGAATAATCTTTCATAAAAATAAGGCATTTTAGTGTAATGCAGCAAGAAAAATTTAAAGAAAAAATTCTTTTATAATATACCTAAAATGAAAAGCTTTTATAAGTAAAACCATAAATTGTCCATTTTACTCTTAAAATCTCTAATGTATAAGAAAGATGATCAGTGGTGACAATACTATTTTTTAAACTAACCCTGTTTTATTTACAAGCATTTCAGTCTCAACTGCATGAAAGAAACACTTGTACTAAGTTGAGATATACGTGAATACTTGCATTCTAAAGGATAGTTTAATTTCTTAGCTGTGGGAGCAGAATTGAACTACCCAAAAACTTACCTGTATTCTGCTTCTATTAGCAGAATTCTCAAAGAATCTGGAATCATTGCTCCTCTGATACCTGTATTTGAGGAATTTAGGGTAGGAAAACATTTTAGGAGTTAGACCTATGTTTATCAAGAGTAAAAATGCAGACTAGAATTTTCAGGAATGATTCTGGAGCCAATATATTTTTCCTTTCTTGTGAGAAGACTACTACTGCATTCACTTTCTCATTATCTAAGGACCTTTTATATATTCTCTTCATGTTTCCAAAGTTTACTTTTCCTCAGACATAAGGAGCACTTTAATTTATTAGAGTTGATATAACCACAGTAAAACAAGTAATATCTTGAAAATTGAGTATATCAGTGTGTTTGGTACATACCTTCCAGAAGATCAAAACGTTGACACACTATTAACTGATTTATCTATTAGAGTAGAAAATAAAGACAGATGGTATGAATTACTCAAATTAAATTTGTAACACATACCATACATAAATTAATATTTACATTAAAGATATTTAAAGTAATTGATTTATCATCTCTAATTTTTTCTGTGACTTGTAAATATTGTAGTAGTCTAAAATTAAATTTTAATTTTTGTTTCACCATAGAAACAGGTAAATGAAAAATTATAATTATAGTATATAAAGTGTTTTATATTTTTTCTATTGTGCATGTATACAATATTTTGATTAACAAAAACTTAAAAGACTTTTGTAAGAAATATTTTTGAAATTCAGAGAGAAATATATATAGGGTAATTTGAAGTAAGAATTTTAATATAATTTTTACCTAAATCCTAAAAGATTTTGTTAGATTTATATCATCATTTGTGATGTTGGTAATTAAGCATTGAAAATGTGAACAACCTTTTCAAGAAGGTACAGACAATTTCATTTTTAAAGTATTAAAAAATAAGATGTGATCAATGATTACAGATATATGAATTATCAAAATTAATTATTCAGAGACAGTATCACAGAAAAATAAATCAAAATTGATGGCATAAACAAATTGTTATTCAATCTCATAAAATCTGGTACAGAACAAGAGACATTTTCCAAATATTAATATTCATATTTCATACCAGGTTTCTAATGTCCAAGCACTAGATGAAATAAGGATTCCTGAAGTTTATTTTAAGTTACATTCTCAAAATCTAATTTTTGCTTTTAAAAATAAGCATTTATTTTTAAATGGGCTTCCTAGGAAATAAATTTATAAATAATAATATAATATTTAAAATGTAGGTTTATGACTTCAATCAGAAATAAAAATTTATATGTAGATAAAATGTAAAAATCTTATTTTAATCTATAGTAAAAATTTTTTATAACAAGTTTTATTTTGCAACTATCTAAATTCATATTATTATGGATCAAATAACTTAGGAAACATTACCACACCTGATCCAAATATTCTAATCCAGGTGGACAGTTGGTCATTATCCCTGGTGTAGGCATCCATTGTATTGAGGGTTGTAGATCATAAAAAGTCATAATCTGGATATATAAGTGCTCTACAATGTGACAGATTGGACAGAGTTAGCCTTTTATCTTTAAAACCTAACATTACTAAAACAAAATAACCTGGTTAAAGACAGGAATCAATTTCAACTTCAGATTCACTTTTTCTATGTTTAATGGTATAAACAGCATTCTTACTTTATTTTTAAAATTATTTTTAATATTTGTGGTTTTATATATGAACTCTATCTCTCAACTAAAACCAAAAAGAAATCTCAGAAATGTCCCAGTTAATACAATCATGATAAGGTGAATGTAATTGTTATACACATTTCCAAGCCAAGTGACTTCAATCCATTTAAATAGAATTAAACATTTATGTTTCTGAATCATTTAAAAATATTTGAACTCCCTCTCTCCACCACCAGTCTTGAAGGATATACAATGGCGGAGATAGCAATATTTTGTCCTGGGTAAACACCATATAAAACTTTTAAAAATTAGGTTTGGGGAGATACCTATTATGTTTCCAGTGCCATGATTCTAACAAATTTAGAAACAAATCTCTACAGAGCCAAAATGTTATTGCCTCTAATTAAGGTCTCATTTATCATTGTATTTTCCACAGGTTGCTCACAATTAAACTTAAAAAATAAATCTACAAACCCTGCTTACAGCTCCAAGTTTAAAAGGACAATTCTAACTGTGCTTATGAATACATTGAAGGTATCATAGAATTTACTCACATTATTTTGGGGGCAAATATTGCAAGATCTGCTTTTATACAAATACAAGAAGAAAAATTAAAGAAAGTATTCTAGTAAAAAAGAAGACCATCCCAACTTTAGTTATTATTATAATAAATTTAGTTTAGATGGCTCAGGTGGTAACTAACTCTTATGTTTAAATTTTTGAGGAACTGAAAAATGTTTTCCATTTTACATTCCCACGAGTAATGTGCAAAGATTCCAATTTCTTCACATTCTCACCAATTATTATTATTTGTCTTTTTAATTACAGCCATTCCAGTGGGTAAAGTCATATCTCACTGTGGTTTTGATTTACTTACCCTGATGACTAATGTTGAGTATCTTTCCATGTGTTAGCCATTTTATATCTTCTTTGGAGAATTGTCTTTTCTAATTATCAGTCCATGATTTTACTTATATTTTTATTGTGGAATTGTGAGAGTTTTTATATATTCTTGATATAATTCCCTCGATATATAAGGTTTGCAAATATTTTCTCCCATTGTGCAAGTTGTCTTTTCACTTTCTTCATGATTTGAATTAAAGAGGTAAAGCTTTCAATTTTGATGTAGTCCAGTTGATTGGTTTTTTGTTGTTGTCATTGTTGCTTGCAATTTAGTTGTCATGTATAAGAAACCATTCCCTTATCCAAGGCCACAATGACTTCCTCCTATGTTTTCCCTCAGAGTGTTAAAGATTTAGCTCCTCCATTTGGCAGGTAAGAATTCTGCCACTGAACCATCCATGCACCTAGATCTTACATTTGGATCTTTGATGCTTGCAGAAATATCCTCACCTTGTTTGTGATTTTAGGAAAAAAGTATTCAATCTTTCACCATAAGTATGTTAGTTATTATTTTTTATATATGCCATTTATCAGGTTGAAGAAGTTTCTATTTCAAGTTTGTTTAATTTTCACTTTAATCACAAAAGAGTGATTTTTTTTCTCAAGTGCTTTTTCTGTGATCATTGAGATGATCACACACCTTCCGTATTTTATTTAATTTAGATAATATATATATACCATGTTAAGTGATTTTCAGATTGTAGATGAGCCTTGCAATCCTAGGATAACTCTTACTTAGTCTTGGTGTATAATTCTTTTATATCTTGCCTGATTTGATTAGCTACTATTTTGTTGAGTATTTTTGTGTCTATATTTGTAAGAGATAAGATATGCACCTTTCCTTGCTGTGTCTTTATCTGGTTTTATTATCAGTGTAAAACTGGCCTCAATGACTTGAAAGTTGTTTCTCCTCTTCTATTTTTGTAAGAGTTTGTGAAGAATTGGTATTAATTCTTCTTTAAGTGCTTGGTAGAATTCACTAATTAAGCCATGTGGTCCTGAACTTCCTTTGTGGGTAATTGATTGATTCAACATCTTCTTACAGTTCTGTTAAGATTTTGTATTTTCTCTTGCATCACTTCTGGTAGTTTGTTATCTTTCTATGAATCTATGCATTTCATTTCCATTATCCAAATTATCGACATGTATTTCTTCATAGTATCCTTTAAAATCATTTTTATTTCTGTAAGGTTGATAGTAATATCCCTTTTCCATTCATAGTTTTAGTAATTTGAGTCATCTCTTTTTTTTCCTGGTCAGTCTAACTAGAGGTTTATCAACTTCGTTAAACTTTTCAAAGAACCAACTTTTGGTTTCATTGATTTTCTCTCTTGTTTTGCCATTCACTATTTCATTAATTTCCTATGAACACTTATTGTTCCCTTCATCTGTTCACTTAACATTTAGTCTTCCTTTTTTCCAATGTCTTAAGAGAGAAGGTTAGCTTATAGATTTAAGATCTTTTAGTTTTTAAAGTACCGGCACTTAAAATTATACATTTCCATCTAAACACTACTTTAGCTTTATCTTTTACACTTGGTATGTTATTTGTTCATTTTAATTCATCTCCAGTGTTTTCTAATTTTGTTATGATTATTTGTTTGATTCATTGGTTATTTGTGAATTTCTCTAATCTCTTTTATTAATTTCTAATTTCATTACATTGTAGTCAGAAAACACATTGTCTATGATTTTAACTTTTTAAAATTTAGAGTGAATTTTTTTATGTCCTAACATGTGGTCTATTCTGGACAATGTTCCATGTTCATTTGAGAAGAGTGCATCTTCTACTGTTGTTTGATGAGTGTTCTTTGGGTGTGTGCTAAATCTAGTTGGTTTATACTATTGTGTAAGCCTTCTAATTCCATACTGATCTCCTGTCTAGTTCTGTTTCTTACTGAAAACTGAATATTGAAGTTTCTAACTCTTATTGTGGAATAGTATATATCCTCCTTCATTTTTGTCAATGTTTTCTTTATGAATTTTGGCATTCTATTGTTAAGTATATATTTGTCTTTATTGTTATATCAAATGATGGATTAATATCTTTATTACTATAAAAAATTTTAATGTCTCTAGAAACATAATTGTTTTGATCTTAAAACTTATTTATCCTAATAGTAGAATACCAACACAAACTATTTTTTGTTACTATTTTCACCATATATCTTTTCCCATTCTTAGGCTTCCAACTTATTTGTGCCTTTGAATCTACAGTGTTCATCTTGTAGACAACACAGACTCGGATGATGTTACTTTATCCATTCAGCTCATTGCTGCCTTTTGATTGGATTATTTAATCCTTTCTTATTTAATACTGTTATTGATATAATTTGACTTACATTTGCCATTTTGTATTTTGTTTTATATAGGTCTTATGTGTTTTTTTTGTTTTTCATTCCCTCCTTTATTGCTCTATGCTGCATAAAGTGAATGTTTTCTAGTGTGACATTTATTCCTTTTAATTATTTTTTCACATATACATGTATTCTAAGGCTTACCAGATATATCTTAATTTATTAGAATATACTTTAAATTTATGTTAACTTAATTCTAGTATGACATAGAAATGTACCCTTATGACAGGTACAAGACAGGTATTTTTAATAACATAATGTGACAATTCTGGAAGTTGTATTTTCCCCCTGCCAGGGTTTATTGTGAGTAGTGTTTGTTTATTTCTTGTTTTTGGTTTAGTGCCTTTCCTCAAGTAATTATATTGAGTTCATATTCTTTGATATGTGTGACCACTGATGACGGCTCAGCTTACTGCTTATCTAATGAATGGTTAGCATTTTCCTTAAATACTCTGCACAAATGTATCTTCCAGCCTTTGCCAAGGCGTTCTGTGTGTGTTTGGGGGTATGCTTTTAATGATCCAGCAGGCAGTTTACAACACTGGCACAGGTTTCCCTCCTTGCTTGCACAGAACCTTAGGGTCAGCCAGAGGTAAGAAATATGGCTTTGTCAGGTCTTTTCTTAGTGTTTGTACAGTTCTGCACATGTACTTTGCCTTCTAGATTTCTAAGAACATGTCAGAACTTTTAAGTTTTCTATGGATATCTCATTCCCCAGATTTTCCTTTTAAGAGTTTTCAGTCAGCTCTTGTATGCCCCAACTGTTTTCACTGTCCCACTCAACTGCCATTTAAATAATTGTCACTGATTGTTCTCATAATATGCCCTGTGGGGAAACACTGTCCCTTGTCACTAATTGAGCCAAGAGATAAAACAAACAAACAAACAAACAAACAAAACACCCTCCTCAAGTAGGTTTAAAAAGAATTTTCAATCAGTCAATTAATGATAGTTCCTTGAGGGTGAGATGTTTGGGGAGGTCCAAACACTTTCTCTTTCTTCCAGGGAATGATTGCAAAGCTGCCAGTTTTCAGGTTTACTAATTTCCTATTGCTGTTGTCACAAATTACTACAAACAATGGCTTAAAACACAGCACAAATGTATTGTCTTACAATTCTGGATGTCAGACATCTGAAATGGGTCGTCAGGTTTATCTTTCCTCCGGAGGCTGGAGGAAGATTCTTTTTACTTGCCTTTTCAAGTTTCCAACCTTCTGACCTCCTTGTGAGCTCTCATAAGGAACCTATGATTACACTGCATCCACCCAGATAATACAGAATAATTTCCTAATCTCAAGATTTTAATTATATTTGAAATTAATTATATTTGTAATTATATTTGAAAAATACTTTTTTCATGTAGGTAATATATGTCAACTGGTTCCAGGGATTAAGATATGAATATGTTGAATATGTTGAACAATTTTTCTATCTACAATATTCCTCCCTCTGATATTCTAAGATTCGTATCTATCCCAAATGCAAAGAATATTTACTTAAGTCTCCACAAACAACACCACATTACAGTATCTACTCAAGTGCAAAATCTCATATAAATCTCCTCAGCTCAAAAGTCTAAAATCTCATCAACATAAACCATGTATTGCTTGTGACTCTTGGTATGATCGATTATGAATCAAAGTTTCTCTCCAACTTTGACTTATGAAACAAGAAAACATGCTACTCTTCCCATAACAGCAGTAGGGCAGGCATAGAATACCTGTTAGAGGCATTTCTGTTCAAAAAGGGAGAAAACAGAAAGAAAAAAAAGTCATAAAATTACAAAAGTAATTTTGAAATCCATCACATCAAACTCCACTAGGTCTCAAGGCTGTGCAATAATCCTCTGTGGTCCTGTTTTACCATCTGGCTTCAGGACTCTGCCCTCTTGTCCTGCAGCTCTGCCCTCAAAATCATGCTTCACTTTCCTTAAACCGAAGCATGTGTTTTCAGGTGAGTAATTTTATTAGGCAGTTTTTATTTGTAATTCCAGCAAATTGGTTTCATTCTCTGTCCTTTGTAGTCCAAGCTGGCACTGTTTCTGCCAAGAACCTCATGATTCTCTTATATGTGTTGCTATTAATAGATTTACTCTATTAGAAAAGATGTTTCTCCACTGATGTGTCTTTGATAATTTCAACTCCATTCCTAACTTCTGCTTAGATCCATAAGTCACACACCTAATCTCTTCAAAGAGCCCACTTTGTGATTGAATACTCTAAAATTTTAATACTTCAGAAACACTAACAAAAAGTTGCCCAGGCATTCCCTTGGCTTTCTCTCAAGAGCACACTTTCCTGACACTAAATATCCCAATTTTAGTGTCTTGTGTACTTTAGATAGTCTGAGAGTTTTCTAAATCACCAATTCCTGATCCTTTTGCTTAAAACTTCTCTCAAAGTTTCTTCTTTTTCTTTCTTTCTTTCTTTTTTTTTTTTTTTTTTTTGTTGTTGTTGTTGTTCACATTGTACTATAATAAGCAACAAGAAAAAAACCAGGGCACAATTTCAACACTGCTTGAAAGTACTAACTCAAAATCCAAGTTCATTGCTTAGAAATTTCTTTTTTCAAATAACTTTGATACACGATTCTGCTAAGCATCTTGTCATTATATAACAAGAATCTCCTTTCCTCGTGTTTCTTATAACTTCCTCCTAATTTCCTTCTGAGACCTCACAAACAGCACTGCTAATAACTTTATTTCTGCTAACAATCTGTTAAAGTGATCTAGGCATTTTCTAGTATGCTCCTCAAAATTCTTCCATCCTCAAATCATTACACCATTCCAAAGCCACTTACATATTTTTAGGTAGATAATGCAGCCGCGTCCCATTTTTAGGTGCCAAAATCCATATGCATTTCCTATTACTGCTATAATAAATCACTATACACTTAATTGCTTAGAAAAACACGTATTTATCATATTTTAGTTATGAAGTTCAGAAGTCTAAATTGAATCAGCAGGACCCTGTTCTTTCTGGGAGCCCTAGGGAAAAATATGTTTCTTTCCTTTATCCAGCTTCCAGAGGCTGCCTGCATTCCTTTGTTTGTGGCCCCCTTCCTTCATCTTCAAAGTCAGCAACATAGCATCCCCTTTCCTCTTTTACTTTTTGCCTCCCTCCTTAAGGACTCTTGTGATGATATCAAGCCTACACAGATAATACAAGATAATCTCCCCATCTCAAGATCCTTAATCGTACCTGCAAAGTTCCTTTGCCATTTAAGAGAACATAATCACAGCTTTTAGGGATTATGATAAGCACATCCTTGGGTGCTAATATTCTGTTAATCACATTATGGATACTGTGACTACAGTACTGTTCATTTTCTAGGCTTCTGTGGAGCTATGGAGAGGGGGATGGCAGTAAGGTAAATTCATATGCCACAAAGCTCACTCTTTTTGCTGAGATTTTTCCCATTTTTTTGAAATAAATGCTCTTCAGAATGTTATAAATCTTTGGTTAATATTCATAATTCTGAAAACTGATTTTGACAGAATTTTTCCACTCTTCTGATTGCTTTTATTGAGGAGCAGATTTTCAGACATTCTTACTCTAAATTTGTGTGTGTGTGAAATAATCACTATTTCAAAAAATCAAAATATGCCATCTCTGTGCATTGATAAGTACACAAATATGTTTTACATATAAATGCCAAATATACTTTTAAATTTCAGTTAACTATTAATTTTTATATTTTAATAAGTATATTGGTTTTATATAGTATATTATATATTAATGTATATATAAATACCTTTCATATATTTAAATATGTTGTTAATGGCTGTTAATCAATTTGGCTATGTTGATTTTTTTAAACACACATCACCAAACAGAAAAATATAAAGGAATCATGTTGAATAAATTGATGTTATTTCAATTGTTTTCTAAAAGAATCTCACCTTTAAATTGTTGCCCTATTCATGACTGTCTCTAGTTTGATAAAGTAATATATTGCTTCTAGTGGAACTAAAATACAAATATTGCTTTTAAACACTTTCACAATTTAAATGCTTTCGTCATCATGACCTTCAAAGCCATTGATAACCACACATTTATATAATATAGATAATTTACCTGAATACTTAGAATATATATCTTGGCCGGTGCAGTGGCTCATGCCTATATGCCTAGCGCTCTGGGAGGCTAAGGCAGCAGGATTGCTTGAGCTCAGTAGTTTGAGACCAGCCTGAGCAAGAGCAAGATCCCATCTCACCAAAAATAGAATAATTAGCCAGGTCACGTGGCACACACCTGTAGTCCCAGCTACTCAGGAGGCTGAGGCAGGAGGATCTCTAAAGCCCAGGAGTTTGAGGTAGCAGTGAGCTATGATGATGCTATTGCACTCTGCCTGGGCCACTGAGCGAGACTCTATCTCAAAAAAAAAAAACAAGAATATGTATCTTGTATTATGTTTTAGACAAATATATTGGTTTATTAATTTATTAATTCTCGAAAAAATTCTATCTTCATGAGATCTTATACATTAAAAAATATCTTATCTCTAGAAAAGGTTCATAGTTGGTTCAGTGTGGGAACTTACAGATCATTCCTAGTTTAACTTTTATCTCAGTTTTATAAGATAAAAAATACAAGCCTCAGAGATGTTTTGTCACTTAGATTTATTAAGGGAAACGCTAGAAAGAGAGGTCAGATATCCCAGAGAAGAAAAGCAGGAGCAGCTGAGATGGGTCATGGAATGGGAGTGGAGAATATAGGTAAAGAAAATGTTCTCAGGGCAGGAAGAGGCCCATGCATACTCTGATATATTTTATATAAGTAGTTAATTTTAAGCCAGAAGAAAGAGGTTAGATGCTTTGTTACTTTGCTACTCTGGTGTTGTTTCTATGTTCCCTAGACTGAAACATAAATATATGCTTCCTACTTTAGATTTAAAATGTCTATGTGGGTCACTCAGATATTTGTACTAAACCCAGAAATGTAGGTGTCCTCTACAAAAAGACAGCAAGATTATCTCTTGTATCAGTCTGGCAGCAACAAAGCATTAGTAAAGTTTGGATCCTTTTGCTTAATGACAACCAGTTTGCTAGTATAAGTCATAAAATCTGAATCAGATAGGCCATGAAAGGGACCACAGGCATAAAGAAAGGAGAGTGGTCTATGGATACCAACATTTAGAACACAATAGTCTCTGGAAACAACATGTCAAATGGCTACCTGAGAGCTCAGTTTGAAAAGGCTTGGTCCTGTGTCTGGCCTAAAATCCACAATCTTTCAAAGTTGCTGTGAGGAAGAGTTTAAGATGGGCGGATCCAAGCAGCCACAACAATAAACATTCCACTCAGAACTTTCTAGGTAATACGTTCTATGAATATTTACATGTGTACTAGTATATAAAGATGACAATCATTCTACTGTCCTAGAATGGCAGCAGAGGTACAAAGAGGAGTGTTGAGCACTACCTACTTGAAATTTGAGTACCTGACCAAGTAGAGGCCACTTTCTCATGGACATACCATGTTTCCCTGAAAATAAGTTAGGGTCTTATATTTATTTTTCCTCAAGAAGACACCCTAGGGCTTATTTTCAGGGAGTGTGTTATTTTTTTTTAAGTACAGTACAACAATCTATATTTATTCAAATATAGTTAAGTCGTCTTCTTCTGGAACATCATCATAACTCTCCAAACCCTGAATTCAATCCTGAATTTCTTACAACTGTATTTCCTTTAGAACCATTGGCTAGGACCTGACAGGGGAAGCCAACTTTATTGGTGGGGCTGCCCGCACCTTTCCAGTCACCTCTGGGATGGTAGCTGTAATGATGGGGCAGATGAGAAGGGCTACTCGTCTTCTTTACCGCTCAACAAAAAAATGCATGGGTTGTGCAGATACGCTGCGTAGCCACGCCCATCACTAGGTCTTATTTTGGGGGTAGGACTTATATTGCACAAATGCTTAGAGATCCTGCTAGGGCTTATTTTATGGGTAGGTCTTATTTTCGGGGAAACATGGTACTAAGGCTGTACCTTTGTTGAACAGTGAATAAAGAAACAATAAAAAAATGACATTATCATCCATAAAATGGTTTAAGAGCAATGTGTATTGTTCTGTATTGTACAGGTTTCCTTTTTCTGCACATTGTATGAGGCTGTTATTGAGTAGTCTTACTTTCAGATATATATGAAAGGAAAACTAAGTGAAATGTGGATTAGAACAACATATTTCATAACAGGTTTTGGGCAAGGAAAAATGGTGCAGACTTTGGTATCTAAAAATGAGAGCAAAAAATATTTAAAATGGAAGTAACTTTAATAGGTGAGGACTCAGAAGCAGAGTGGTAGGGATGCTGCAGTGAGCTTCACTTTTGCATGAGCCTTTTCCCAGCTTCACCTATGAACAACACAAGAGTCTTAGACATTTGTAACCCCCACTGAACAAAGGGAAGGGATTTGGACTCCTGTGAAGGAACATGGGCATGACAGCTTATGTCTCCTTCTCCATCCCATGATGTCAATGAAGCACTGGTGGGGGCATTTCCTTTGAAGAGGGGCAGAGGTTTTTTACCTCATAGCATCAGCTGTTCAAGGGAGACAAAAGCCCATTGGTATTCACTGGAGGGTAAACGCTGCCACTTAGTGAAAGATGAAGCTCAACTAGTGCAAAAGGAACTGTGCCCCTCAAGTAGCTAAATTCTTCCTGGAGAAGACAAGAGACACTAAATAGGTCACAGTCAAACAGCAATCTCATAAACCCCTCAGCCAGATGAGCATGTTGAAAACCTCCCCTTTATCTGAGCCAGAAAGGAGCAAATGAGCATTCTAGAACTATGCCCTCTTTGTCCCGCCCATCTGGATTGTAGGTGCAGAACACCAACATAAGAGTGATTAAAAGAAATATGGAGTCACTGTCTCATTCCAACATCTCTTGTATCCAATTTTTGAAAAAGAGATATATTGTCTCAAAAGTCTCCTCACCCAATAATGCATCTTAATTTCCTTTACTTTCAGTCACTGAAAAGAATATGCTGTTTCCTACTTTTAACAGAATTGTGAGGTTCTAATATAGAAATTTCAAAAAGTAGAATTGTTAAAGGTTAACATTCACACCATGAGCTTTATCATTAACTAACTTAGTAATATTAAAGCTTTAGTTTTCTTATCTATAATTTGTACTTTAAGGTTTCCCTTAGTTATAAAATTCTGTAATTGTGTACATATTTTCAAATACTCTTTTTTAAACTTTGAAGGAAGTTCAAGTGTTCAAGTTTCATTACATAAATGTTAAGCTGAATTAAAATTAGGAATTTACAATTTAGGACACAATTTCAAGAAAACTAAACTGTAAATAAGTAAAATTAGAAACAAAAATAGAGAATATGTGAGTTGTTAAATAGACAGATAAATATATAATTATTTTTTAATCAATTATCAAAATCTGAAATCAAGTCACAAATATATAGATAATATAAGAAAGCAAGTATTTCCTCAGTGTGAAATATGCTAGTTTAGAATATTCAATATTGAGAATGAATAAACCATTATTCTTCTAAAAGATTATTAATAATCTCCCAGTTAGAACACCACCTGAATCACTTTAAATTCATAAAACATGTTTATGGTGTAATGTCATTTATCTAAGTAGGGTTGAGAATAAGCAGTGCATTAGCCATAAAAATAACAATAATAATGGTAAAACATGTTTATTTCATTCTCACAAAAACCCTAAAAAGAGGAAATTATTACCCTAATTTTAGAGATGAGAAAACCAAACTTAAAGAGGCTTTCTCAAGGCTGCTGTCCAAATTCATGTAACCATAAATTCTGTCCATATTTGAATTTCAGAGTAAACATATACTTTTACCTATTTCTTACATGTGATAATATGATAGAATATAATTATCTGTCAACTTACTCTTAATTCACTAAGGACAGATGAAATCAGTTTTTTAAGAGACTCTATTAGAAGAGTGGTTTGATTAGTAATTCTCTGAATATCAACTCACTTAAAATCTAGAAACAAAGAGGGAAGTCTGGCATCATAACAGGTTCATGACCTATATAATAAAACTAATACTGACTTTAATACAATAGCCCTGACTTATCTGTAGTTTTGCTTTCCACGGTTTCAGTACCCACATGGTCAACCAAGTTCTGAAAATATCAAGTGCAAAATTCCAGAAATGAACAATTCATAAGTTTTAAATTGCATGCTGTTCTGAGAAGCATGATGAAATCCCATATGATATGTGAATCATCTTTTTGTACAAGGGGTGAATGTTCTTGACTAAATAAGGAAAGAAAAAAATTGTATTCTGAGGTTGCAATCTATAGTAAGAATGAATTTTCTATCCATGAAGTTGTGAAGAAGGAAAAAAAAAAATCCACACTGGTTTTGCTGTCACACCTCAAACTACAAAAATCATGGCTACAGTGCATGATAATTGCTTAGTTAAGATGACAAAGGCATTAAATTTGTTAGTGGAAGACATGAATCAGAAACATGTTCCAATTGATGGCAACACATTGTGCCAGGAATCATTGGGCCTATATAAAGATTTCAGCAAGGGATCCCTTGACATGAGTGATTTGAAGCCATTTAATACAAGTAATGGATGGTTACATAGAATCAGGAATAGGAGTGGACTGAAAAAGATAAAAATTGCTGGAGAGGCTATGCCTGCTGATAAAGAAGCTACTGCCACATATCCAACAGAGTTGAAGTTGGATTAAGAGGAGAAAAAATGCTATCCAAAGCACATCTTCAATTGTAATGGAACCAAGGTCTTCTGGAAGATGATGTCCAATTGAACCTACATTCATAATAGTGCAAAAAAAGGCATCAGGGCATAAAGAATGGAAGCACAGATTAACTCTCATACTATGTGGCAAGGCATATATAGAATTTGGTAAGAGCTGCTATTTCAGGCATCCCTGAGCATCTTGAATAAGTCCCCTGTAGATAAGGAGGGGCAACTAAATCGGAAATAGGGTGCTAGAGTTAGCAAATACCTAAAAATGTGCAGTAGGTTTGGAATTTGGCAATAGCCAAGGCTGAAAGAATTTTGAGAAGTGTAGTAGAAAAAGATTGCCTTAAAAAGAAAAATGTGATAGAAAAAGATTGTTCATGGACATATGGATGTTAATGACTCTATTGGTCAATACTCAGAAGTGAAGATCATAGACAGAAAATAAGTACTATCTCAGAGAATATCTATATCATCCTGAATAGGCTGATGGTAGAAATATGAAGTTAAAGGAACTGAAGGTGAGGGCTCAGATGAATATTAAGAACATCTTATTGGAAACTAGAGCAAAGGAAATCTTTGTTACAAAATGGAAGAAAGTAAGTACCTTTATAGGATTTACCTTTTGTTCCACATCCTGTGGTCCTTTTAAATGACTGCTATTAAATGTACTATTTACATTAGTGTACTATTTACTGTTAAATTTTATTCAACTCTCTTGGTATGGTAAAAAAAAAAAAAAAGAACTACATTGGGGGTATTTCATGAAAGCCAGGCCATAGAAACTATTCTAACAATTTCTACCATATTGTAGGCATCCAATAATTGCTTTGGAAATAATCATAAGTAGATCATTTTCATACATTTGTCTGGTTTATGGTAAAGCCATTCACCCAAAGACTACAATGTAAATTGATCACAAATATTATTTTTACCTTTTTTATTGTTTTCTTGGCTCTATTTGATTTCTGCTTCTAGAATTCTTATTATGTATAAATTGAAATTGATGTATCTGTTCCTTAGGTCTTAATTTTTCTCTCTATACTTAGTGTTTATGTGATTTTTGGAAGAATTTCCCAAGCCTATTCTTAATTTTATTGTGTTTGCTTTCTACTTTATGCAAACTGTTGTTCTGGTGTCTCGTGATACTTGAAAATGTGGTCATTATATTTTTCAACATTATTAAAATCTGGCATCAGAGTGTTCCTTTTTCTCTATGCCTATTCCAGAAACAAATATGAACCATTCCCTAAAATCTCATTGAGATAACAAATTAAGATTTTTTTGTGTAATTCCTGGTATTTTTAAGATTAAAATTGCTAATTTTTAATGTTTGATGATTTTTCTCAAAGATTTAATGATTGAGTCAAAGTCATAAGTATTAAAAAAAGATTTAATGAAAGGACATTTGTCTAGTATTTGAACTTAAATGGTCTCTGAAGAGAGTATATGGGTTTCTGCTCAAATCTTCCTTGGACAGCTGAAGAAGGAAGGAACTGTTTAGATCAGTTGTAGTTTTACTTTGCTTAACCAGAGATCCAGAATCCTAGGTAGAACAGAGAGAGAGAGAAGATATGAAAGTAAGATGTACCTGTCACAGAGAAAATGTCAGTACCTCTAAATTTCATTTCCACCTGATGGCCAGCTTGGAAAGCCCTTCCCCTTCTCTTCCTGGCACAACTAATGCCACTGGGTGCAGCTATTTAAGTACTCCCACTTTACTTGGTATGCTGTCTGTACTAAGCATATGCTAGAGGGCTATGCTTACACCATGGCTACACCTCACCAGTGGAATCTGGCATCTGGTGTATTATAAGATTTCGACTTTTGGGAAGTTTATAGACTTAGCTTTTCCTATAGCTGACCTGCCATATCAATGTTCTCCTCATTTGCCATCTGAAGCTACTGGTGTTGAAGTTGTATTAGCATTAACACCCACCATGAGGAGAGTGGCTGTTGGAGGCATTTTGCTGAAGATGAGAGGGTGTCCCATTTCCATTCCCTCATTTCCCAAGCACACTTTTCCTTTGCATGAGGCAAATTATGGGTTGTTCATCTCCTCTTTCAAGTCAATATTCCCTATAAAACAATTTACAAAATTCCTTTAAGTTAATGATAAGTGGAAATCCTAGTTTCTAATACCAGTGCAGATTTTACTATAAGGTATCCTATGCCTTTGCTCTTTTTAAAGTAGATCTTAAAGGGAGGAGGAGGTAAATGTGAAGAGTCTAAAATACCACCTGAATTGATTATCTACATTTTGTTCAACTACAAAAATCAAATATACATATCAATAAATTTTTATTTTAGGTGTTTGATTACTGGCATAAACAACCTAAGACCATTAATGAAGTATACTCTGTGAAGGTATACATATGGTTTATTTAACACCTGAATAATCTTGTATCTAACATAGTCTGGGAATAGTAGTAAAAAAACACGGAGTTTTCCTTTTAGATAATCCCAATCAATAAACAGATTTAAAATTTTCTGAGGAGACTTACATTAGTTCAACCACAGATTCCTATATTCTAGCCTTTGCCTATGGTGCTTTCAAAAAACATATAGTCCTGGAAAAAAACCAAAAATGCAGAAATGAGTTTTCAGCAACAAAACAGCAATTAATTTTCAGATGTAGGAATGCTAGGAGATTTGATGAAACACAGTTATATATTTTTAAATAAGAAAAATTAACTATAATAAGTAAAGGTGAGAAAAGTCCACACCTATATAAGCTCTATCTTCAGCTTTCTATTTTAATGGCAATTAAATCCTATAATTATATTCATTTATTGACACCTGCATGAATTTAATTAATCCTCTGGTAATTTCTCTAAATGTCACTTTTTCTCTTTTAATCTTTCTTCCTTAACATTTTATAGTTCTTCTTCAGTAAATAACTTTTCTTATTGCTGGAATTCCATTAGAACAGATTATGAAAACCATCCTATGTATAATAGCATCAAAAAGAACAAAATACTTATGAATAAATTTAGCCAAGAAGGTGAAACATTTGCACACTGGAACTGTAAGACATTGATGAAAGAAATTGAAGACACAAATAAATGGAAAGATATCCTGTGTTCATGGATTAGAATAATTAATATTGCTAAAATGTCTAAACTACCTAAAGTGGTGCAAAGATTCAATGAAATCTCTATCAAAATTCTGCCAACATTTTTCACAGAAATAGAAAAAACATCCTAAAATTTGTGAGGAATCACAAAAGACCTGGAATAGGCAAAGCAATCCTGAGTGAGAAGCACAAAGAGGGAGGCATCACACATGACTTGATTTCAAAATACATTACAAAGATACTAAAACAGCTTGGCATTATCATAAATACAGACATACTGACCAATGGAATAGGGTAGAAATCCTAGAAATAAACCCACACATTTACAGACAATTGATTTTTGACAAAGGTACTAATGTCACACAATGGGGAAAGTATAGTCTCTTCAATGAATGGTGCTGTGAAAACTAGACATTCACATTTAGAAGAGGGAATGTAAATCCTTATCTCATATCACACACAAAAATCAACAAAAATGGATTAAAGACTTAAATGTAAGACCTGAAACTATAAAACTACTAAAAGCAAATATAGGGGAAAGTCTCCAGGACCTTGGTCTAGAAAATGATTTCTTGGATATAACCCCAAAAGCACATGCAACAAAAACAAAAAGAGACAAAGGGAATTGCATCAAACTAACAAGTTTCTGCACAGCAAACGAAATAATTATCAGAGTGAAGAGATAGCCTGTTCATCAGGAGAAAATACTTGCAAACCATACTTCTGATAGGGGCTAAAATCCAAAATATATAAGGAACTCAAACTTACCTCAATAGCAAGAAAACAAATAACCAAATTTAAAAATGGACAAAGGACATAACCAGACATTTCTCAAAAAAAGACATAGGAATGGCCAACACATATGTGAAAAAAATGCTTAAAATCATTATTCATTAGGGAAATGCAAATTAAAACCACAATGAGCTATCACCTCACACTTGTTATAGTGGCCATTATCAAAAAGATGAAAGATACATGTTGGCAAGAATGTGGAGAAAAGGGAACCCTAGTACATTGTTGGTGGAAATACACATCAATACAGTCATTATGGAAAATAGTATGGAGGTTCCTCAAAACTGAAAAAAGAATATATGATGTAGCAATCCTATTTCAGGGTATATATCCACAGAAATTTAAATCAGCATATCAAAGAGATATCTGCACTCCCATATTTGCTGCAGCATTATTCATAGTAGCCATAATAAGGAAACAACCTCAAGTGTCCATCAATCAATGAAAATAAAGAAAACATGGTATATTTACACATTGTTACACAAAAGAATACTATATAGCCCTAAAAAATTGTGTTATTTGTAACAATAGGGATAAATCTCGGAGACATTAAGCTAAATGAAATAAGTGGAGCAGAAAAAAGACTGCACAATTTCACTTATATGTGGAATCTAAAAACAGTCACATTCATAGGCTGGGTGCAGTGGCTCATGCCTGTAATCCTACCACTCTGGGAGGCCGAGGTGGGAGGATGGCTCAAGGTCAAGAGTTTGAGACCAGCTTGAGAAAGAGCGAGACCCTGTCTCTACTAAAAATAGAAAGAAATTATCTGGACAACTAAAAATATAAATAGAAAAAATTAACCAGGCATGGTGGTACATGCCTATAGTCCCAGCTACTCAAGAGGCTGAGGCAGAAGGATTGCTTGACTCCAGGAGTTTGAGGTTGCTGTGAGCTAGGCTGAGGCCACGGCACTCACTCTAGCCGGGCTGAGCTTTAATGGTCTATTGCATGCCAGGGGTTGGCCACCCTCCCAGCGCAAACAGGTCCCAAAGCAGGATCGTCGCAAGGGATGTGGAAATAAGAAATAAAGAAATGACATATTATAGACAAATAAATGATTGAGATGGAGATGAACAGCAGTTTAAAAGATGAGGGAGTCGAGGGTTCTCAGCTTCCTGCAGACTGAGACTGAAGTCCACACATTGGTATGGAATGAAGTCCCACATCAGTATTTATTGGTACAGCAAATAGTTGTCTTTTGTTAGAGAATTGCATATACAGTTCATTTTTTGAGGTTTCCAAGGGAACCTTACCTAATTCTGTCTTCAAGAATAGATAGTTATACAATTTTTCAAAGATAAGCATGTTAAGCTCTAAGTTAGAAACAGACCTAGCTGAGCATATAATGTATAAAATGAGAACACTAAGTCTGTGTTCTACTCTAATCTACTTCTTCCAAACACAGAGACATGTAGTTCAGAGTGAAGCAGGAATAGCCTTGAAGTCTAGGATAGCTCCAGCTGCACGTTATCTGCTGGGCAGGCATTTTAATCACCTTCTCCGCCAAGGGACCAAACCGAGCTTCTGCTTTGCAAAAAAGCTCAAGGCAATGAATGACCTGCAGCAAGAGAAGAAATGCTGCTTTGCAAACATCTTCCCACGATGGCCCCACTTGTTGGAAACAGCTTCTCTTTTGTGAACCAACATGTCCACAGATTTCTTCAAGGCAAAGACCTGCAAAACCCCTGAAAATTCTCACATCTCTTAGTCTATTTCCCAACACAGTACGGTGACTATAGTTAATAATAATGTATACTTCAAAAGTGCTAAAAGAATATATTTTAAATGTTTTTATCATGAGAAAATAAGTAGGTAAAATGATGAGAATATTAATTAGTTTGATTGAATCATCCCACAATGTATACATATGTCAAAACATCACACTGTACCCCATAAATATTTGTATAATATTATTTGTCAATGAAAACTAAAATAAGAACTGTGGTTATATTTAACATTTTACTACAGAAAATATTACACCTATTCCAAATTAGATAAAATAGCATAATAAAGTCCCAGTGACCTTTCACTTACTTCAATAATTATTGGCATGACCATCCAGGTTGAGTAATCTCTTATGTGAAATGCTTGGGACTGGAAGTGCCCCACATTTTGGATTTTTTCAGATTTTGGAATATGTGTATTTATACTTACCGGATGAGCATTCCAAATCCGAAACCCCAAATAGTACAGTAAGCATTTCCTTTGAGTGTCATATCAGTGCTCAAAAAGTTTGGGATTTAGAACATTTCAGATTTTTGGATTTGGGATGCTTGACTTTTGTTTAATCTGTTACACCATGCCCTAGATCCTCCCTGTTCTTACCCACATTATTTAAAAATAAATCGCCTGAAATACCTCAGTCTGTACTTCTAAAAGATGTGGATACTGTTTTGCTTTTACATAACCACAATATCATTATCACATCTGAAAGTATTAATAAGTCCTTAAAATCATCAAATAGCCAGTCAATGTTCAAATTTCCCTGAATGTTTTGTAAATGTCTTTTTATATTGGTTTGCTCAAATCAATTTCCAAACATGGTCAATGAACTAACTGTATTAGATGGAAAACTCTCAAGTCTCTCACTCTCTCTCTCGTTTTTATCTCTTTCTTTTTATTTTCCTTGATATTGGTTTGTTGGGTGTCACACTGGAATCATCTAGGAGCTCTAAACAGCTAAAAAGCTTGTTCTCACCTCCAGAGATTTTGATTTAATAGATTTGGGTGGAATCTGGACATGGGGAGTTTGAAAAATTACTCAGGTGTTTCTGTTGTGCAGCTAAGGTTGAAAACCATTGCTCTGTCTTCATGATCCTCAACTTTGGCTGTACTTTGGAATCACCTGGGACACTATGCAAACTTCTGATCTGAACTTCTTTGAACTGGGGTATGCCCTGGTATTTGAGGATTTTATTAACAAAAGCTCCCTAGGTGATTCTAATGTGAAGTCAAGTTCAGAATCACAGCTTTATCCCATGTATTTCCTATAAATTGGTAGTTAGAGCTAAAGGCTTGATTGGATGTATACATTTATTTCAGAATATTTCTATATTCAGAAACTTAAATTAGTAATGAGTCAGGATGAAATCTTTGTGTTTCATGGAGTTTTATTCCATGTAAGCCTAGATTCAAATTCTTCTCTTAAGCATGATCTTTGATAGATTTGAATAAACATGCTCCAAACCAGGGCCTCTCCTTAACATATGAAGTCTTTCTCTTGACATTTGAAAATGCACAGACTCTTCAGACAGGAACTAGTTACCTGTGAATCCAGAGTGTCAGGATCAAATAGAATTTCAGAACTAGGATTAAATGGGATCCTTGTATAAAATCTGTAAACTATAGAAAGTAATCTTAACATGTACAATTTACTGATATTTCAGAATGATATTAGAGAAACCATCTATAACCAAGGTTAGCAAGAATAGACTTACAACAAGAAAACAAGCACCAAGCATCACTGCTTTCATCCTAACATCAAGGTCTCTAGGAAACTGTATTGTAAAGTTGTCAGTATCTGTAAATGCCTCTCTAAAAATCCCAGTCCAGTTCTTGGAAATTCCGCCAACCACAGTTTGTTTATCCAGAGATTTAATCTAAAGTGCAAAAAAAAAAAAAGTCTTAAAGATTTCTGGAAAACCTATAACAAAAGCACTTACAAAGTTGGAGTAAAATGAAACAAATATTGTATTAAAATTATGTACCAAATTTAACTATACATTTATTTCATATTTTTATTTTATATTAATACAGTAATAAATTATTTTAATTGAACCAAAAAATTTAAGTAGAAAAGGTTACAAATCTGAAATGTTTCCTTGATAAAATTCCTGAAAGCCATCAGGATGGTAATAAACACAACTCCTATTAGATGTCCTTTAAGAGCAGCACAGATAGTTTACATAGGCTTAAAGTTTAAATATGATGGGAAGGCTTATTACCACCTACTGTCATTTGGAAAGCATAAAATGCTAAGAGCCTAGAGATAAAAGATTGGTAGTTATGAGTGAAGGAAAATAACCAATAAGCAAATTGATGGAATGCCCCAGGTCAAGTGTTGGGGTAAGACTGGATAACTATTGGAGTGTGAATAACAACATAATAAAAGAAAAGATGTGTGAAAAAAAAAAAAACTCCAATGTAAAAAATTTCTCTTTTTGTAAAAAAAAAGAAAAAAAATTGTAAATATTCTGCCCGAGTAAAGCTGAGGGTCATCATACAGAATTGAAAAGAGTGTGCTCTGACAAAAACATCTAGCCAATTGGGCAGGTAGGGGCCCAACATAGTCAACATTCACCATCCTATGTACATGTAAGGGTTACGTCAACCCAGTGCCCGAGATTTTTGTCAAATTTAAACAAGGTACCACTTTTACTAGCAATACCCTTTGAAGCCCTTACCTCAGGTTGGCACCAACGAAATGAATGTGGGGAAACTAAAAACAATGATTCATTTTCTTTGAGTGTTGGTGGATGGCTTCTTTAAAAACCTGAATTAAATGTCAAAAATGAAACTGTGATAGCATGGATTAGTGTTCATTAAATATTCATTTCATTCTCCCTTCCATTGTAATCTGAAATATTTCCTTGTTCCTTCATAATTCAGCTTTGCTTGTGGCTTGTTTGATCAATGGAATATTAGTAGATGTGACCTTAAACATGGCTAAATAGTTGGGTCTGGCTCTTGGTCTCAGGTAAACAGGCTTAGGTAGCTGCTGGTGCTACAAATTTGAGGTAAACATACCTAGATCAGACCTGAAGCCAGCTGTAGCCTAAATCAAAGCCCTCTAAATGAGTCTAGGTATATCCACCGAAACAGAGTTGACTTGCAGACTGAGCTCTGCTCAGCTTTAGGATAATATTTTCACCATTCTGTGAATTCGTGGGCCCAGTTTGCCAGATTTACTAGATTTCCAAGAGAATCAAAAAATCAAGATTAAATATAAAATCTCCAGAGTTTTAAACATTTGCAACTAAATAATTTGGATTATAAGGCCAGGCCATCTGTTGGAGAATTGCTATAATGAAATTACTCCATGAATTAAATATATAGACATATTATGGTTTCCAATGACTTAATTTAATAGAGGGACAAAGGAGAGAACACAGAGCAGCATAATTGAGTATACAAATTAAACAAACTTTCTTAAAACTATCTTTGCATAATTGGGCTTTTTGTAGGAAATCAAAGATGTCAGACCTTCTGAATGTGGCCTACAACACTGGCAGCCTGTATTTCATATTAAGAAAGGATCCAAGCTTTGGCAATTAGATAACAAGTTTAATGGTCAATTTAAAATGGATAATATACAGTGTCACCATACAGAAACCACCATGTTTAAGTGTTAGATATTTTACTTATTTTTGTTTGACATAACTCTGCTTCTCTTTTTCTCATTTACCATATTCAAAACTGACATTTAATCAGTGTAATTACTACCTCTCTGACCAAATATATGAATATATTGTCTCCCTCTTGAGCTATGAGTACACAAATACTTACTTAATGCATCTGTAACATCTTGCAGAATTATATTCTACTAAAATTAGGAAAGCAAATACTATAAATAATTATGACTTTTTTTACCTGAAAATCAATATTTGCAGTACAGCTGAACATAAAACACGGACCAGTAATTTTTAGTACATCCACTCTTTCCTCATTTTGAATTGTAAACTGTGGAAGATATGGGTGCCAGATCTGAGTAACATAACCTACTGGTACACCAGGAGGAGCTTGAATTTCTATCTACAAAAACAAAAGAATATATGTAAATAGAATAATCATCATAATAAAAATGTCCAATAATAGCTCTCATTTACTGAGCACCTTCTAAATGCCAGACAGTGTTCTAAAATGCCACTTAATTCATGACACATCCTTACACATCTAAATTATTAAGAAACTGTTTTCTTAAACTCCTTTAAAAACAGTGGTTTATATATATGAAGAGAACACTGACCACTGGTACAGTTCTTACATACAAGTACCAATGGTGCTATAATAAAAAGAATATGGTACTGAAATCTGGGCTCTGCTATTTATTAGCTGTGAAACCTTGAGAGTGTCAAGGTATGCTCATCTGTAAATGTGGACTTCCTAGGACCTTTATTAAAGACTAAATAGTGTAATGTATGTTAATGTGGCATTCAAGTTGCAGGGAATTTCCCGTCAAACACTCAGTTTTTCTTCCAGTATTTTTATGACTACATAAAAAAACCTAACCTAAAAGGAAAACACAGTATTTCATTATAAATAACTTCAGTTATCCTCTCAAAATAAGTACAGTATTAGATTATAAATAACTATGTGACTGTATCTTTATCTGTGTCATGCTCTCACAGGAACCTGCATGGGATGACTGAGTTATCCAGGCACAGCTAGACTCCAGCCAATGGGATCTAGGCAAAGCCAACTTCACTATAAATTCTCTGTGCTTTGGTGTCTCCCCTGAAATCCATATTCTCTAGGCTGCCAAATAATATGAAACAGAGACAGCTGGTCTTTACAGAGGTGAAGATACTCTCACCTCAAGTGTCCCTATTACAGATGACACAGGTAATGTAAGTTTTTATTTGAAAAATGAGAAATGAAAAACACAGGAGATACAATGTTTTGGAGAGGGATTTTCCTTGGTTTATCCCTTAGTAGGTAGGCCAAAATTGTGAGGTGAACACATCTGTTCTTCCCCTCATTCTTCTATCCATGTGCTCCTAGAAGAGTATTTTAGGATATTCTCAATGGTGTAACTCTGTTGGCTTTGGCCATATCTCTCATAGTCATTTGCAGTGAGTGATCTGACAGGCATTCTCTATCTGACCTTTTCTTGAATGTCAACAACTCTCAGACCTGTTGATCAGCCCCAGAAGGAAGACTACTCACAGACTTGGGGCTATCCCTTTGCTATTGTCCACTCGCCTTTCTTCCTATACAATTTACTCAGAAAAATAAATGTATAGCTTGTTGATTCATTTTTCTTTAAATCTCATTTGATTATATAGATTCAATGAAAGGGTGAAAATTCTTGCAGAACTACTTTACATACTGCCCTGGTAGTTGCTCACAGACCTCCTGAAGGCAGCAGGGACAACAACAGCTGGAACATCTTAGTGGTCTCTTCAGAGTTATGACTTCTCGACCCATATTATCAAGAACGTGCAAAGTAAAAGATCTAGATGGCCCACAGCAACTTCGGTTACAAAAATTAGTATTTTCTGCTGCAATGTAAATCCTCTGTCCAAACCTGTCCTTGATTTCATACACATTATTGCTTTCAAAACCGAATATGACTAAAAACAAAAAGAGGAAATCAGTCACCTTTATGCTAAAAAACATTAATTCTATTTAAGATATTATAGTATCTAGCTATATCAGATTTAGATGATATTTTAAAAAGCATAGGAAGAAGAAAAAAGAAAGGTGTTTAGAGATGATCCAGACCAGAAAAAAAGGCAAAAGCAAAGGAGAGTCTATGAAGGCATCAACAAATTAGGAGTTCTTACTTGAGACATGGAAAAGAAAACAAGTCATATCTTCCTAATTCCATAGACTTCTGTCAGAAAGGCAGACATTGCTGCTAACGTGAGGGAGATGCTACAGGTTGAAACACTGGTGCTAGGTGTATGGACAAAACGTCCACTTATCTGGTAGAATTTTTACAACTGGCTCCAATGGACATATTTCAATGACCCCATATGTTTTTTTATAATCCTCTCTCTCAACTAACTACTTGACCTTTTGAGTTGTTTCCCAGAAATAGTGAATATTCTGCAAGACAAAGGAATTGAGATTCTGAAGGCCCAGGGCAGACTTTTTGACACCAAGATTCATCATCGCCCTGGATCTACCCCAAGGCATGTGGCCTCTCCTTAAAAAGCCCATGATCTCTGTTAGTAGAGGAAATGTATTTGAAGTAGCTTCTATGTTCTCCCATCAAGACATCTTTCACATTAAAAATGCCCTTGTCTCAATAATTGGATCTTTTTGGGCAATGAGTAACTGGACCTAGGACAAAACCTCCTTGCAGTTTTGATAAAATTTTCATGCATTATGGAGGGGAATATAAGAAGATTGCTATGTTTATGATCTATGAAATATATTAAATAAAGTGGTTTGAGATTTTGTTTCATAAGTCATACTTGTCTTATTTTTTATAATGTGTTTTAATGAAGGCAATAAGAGGGCTTACTCTGAATGTGGTATCTTAAGGGAAAAAGTGAAAATGGAAGGTGAATTAGAATATCACATTGGGCTCAGGGCACCCTTGCTTAACTCACAAGTGGGAAATGGGTATCAGACAAGGACAGGGGGTGTTTGGTAACCAGACCTTCAATTCATAGAATATCTAGACCACAGACATCTTAAGTGAACTCTGCACCTTAGATGGGTTAATCTCTTCATGAGGGAAACAGAATGATGCTTAATGTTGACACCCACATGGTATTTTACCAAAGGGCTTGGCATATTATTCCAAACATTGGAAACCTTTCCTTGTTTAGAGCCAGGAATGAACAATGAATGGACAAATTTGTTTACAGAGGGCATGATACAGATATGTCCTTCACAATGTAAGGAAAAATAAAACTCTCAGGATGCCCCAAAATTCATTATGGCAAAAGAGAGAACTGAGCCTAAGAACTGAGTTGCACAAGCACTGCCATCCTCTCCTCAGTGAGGTATAGGAGTTTTCTTTTAAGAAATGAAAGTTTTAGAGGTAGATAGATTCCAGGTCTCCTAGGGACAAAACTAGGTGCTGTTGCCCGCATTCTGGTCCTGCTCCATCCTAATACTCCACTGAACTACCACCATACCTCAGGGAGGAGGGAATATCCTTTGAATTTGCCAATCAGAACGTAGTGCATCAGCTGCAAAAGAATGCAGAGGACTCTCTAGCCCATAGGCCAAGCAGCATAGGTATCATAGAGTCCAGAAATTGACCTAGAACAAACTGCATGCATAGTAATGCAACTCCCAAGTATCCAGTCAAAGTGGCTCTATGGTGACATCTGAGCCACTAGGGAGGTCCCAATACAGTCGTTATAAAGCAAGATACAGACCATAACCAAACCCCTTTTTTTGTACCCTTCATTTTGCTCTCACTTTGCTGTGACAACGGGTCTGGTCGTATGTGTGTCTGTATCATGCTCTGTAAACCTATATCTTGATTTTGCCCTATAATCCTATCTTTCTTTCCTCAATAAACCTCATTTTCATGTTTGTCTTACTTTGGTGTGTGTCTGGTCATTCTTCAGCCATGAGTGCACTAAGAACTGACATTTCAAACTAAAACCTGACAAAAGGGCTTAGAAAATGAATAAACAGGGTTTCATTTTGGTGGACAAGGTATGGAAGGGAGAAAGAATCCCTGGCTGGCAAGGTGGTCTTATTTTGCAGATAAACGTCATGATAACAGCTCTCAGGAAAATGTTTTTGTTCGGACCTTTTAGGGTGTTGGACTCTCAACAAACCTGTTCCAGATCAAATAGTCAGGTCCTGGCTACATTTAACAGAGATTCTCTACTGAAGCAAATTTCTCCCGCAGCTCCTCACTTAGACAGCTGTATAGTATTATTCCTGTTTGCCCACAGCCATCTCAAAATATCTCAAAGAAATGTATTTTGGGCTAAAATATTTCTTATTTCCTTTAGCTCTAAAATACCCTTCAAGATAGATAGCCCCTATAAAATGAGTGCATGAGGATTATAACCTTAGGACTATAGCCAGATTACAAGTGTATCTCCACAGATGCAAACCAAGGAAGAGATATGATTACTCTTCTACCCACACTGAGAAGATCACAGCATTGACTCTTTCCTCCACCCCCTTTTTTGAATGTTCATCTTATCTTATGTATATTTTCTGAGTACCAACTAGAACTTCATGACATTACCATCAATTGCCTCACTGTTCACCTCCTTCACTCCTCTCCTTTTTTCTGTGTACCCTTTTTCCTTTAAATGCAAAACTCTCAAAACCTTCTGAGGAGAGCCTAGTTCCCAACAGACTTTGTAGACTGTGCTTTTCCCAGGTGCCTCCTTAAAAATCTTAGCTTAATAAACCTCAATTGAGTGTGACTCTTGTTTCTTGTTACTGAAAGCTCAGCACCTGTCCTCAAAGCTGCATCAGAAGAACAAGAACAAGTGGTTTAAGGAGAAGGAAAGAAAAGTTTATTAATTTGCTGGCAAATGAGGAGGATGGAGACTACTGTCTATGATGCCATCATCCTAAAAATAAGCAGAAACACAGAGCTTTTAAAGGGAAGCCATTCAGCTTCAGGCAACTGCTGTTCAACTATAGTTGATGGCCCTAATCCTATCTCCAGAATCTGCTGGGAACTCTACCACCTGGACCTCTGCCAGGATGGCTCTGCTGCTGGGCCATCCCCTGCAGTGCAAAAAACAAAAGACATTCCCTTGCCTCATCTGACCACTGGCCTGAGGATGCAGGCTCCAGTTCCCAAAGCGAGTGGGGGAAGCTTCAAAGAGACAGAAAACAGCTTTGCATTTTTTTTCAGGCAATTCTCTGTGTTACATGTTGTTGCTTACTACTTAAGTTAACAACAAGTTATATCACCACGAACTCTCTTAAGTGTCTGTAGTTGGACTCAAACAGGCCCTGGACTCTGCTTTAATAGAAACTATACTTGGCTTCAATATCTACCACAGTCAAATGTTTGTGAAAATATTTTAAAACTAATTTAAAAAACGAGATTGATTCCTGAGAGGGCATCTATTATCCATCTAATTGTTTAATTATGTAGCTTAATCTTGAAAATCTTAAACTTATTTATCTGTAAAATGAGATCAATGGGCTTATATAATTTCAAAGTCTCTTTACCATTACTTGAAAAATGAAAACAAACAAAAGAATTCTACAGTTATATCTTCAGCATCTATTAATTTTTCAACTGGAGGGAGGTGTAAGTGCTTGTCCTGGTCCCACATGCTAAAAATAAACCAAATAATCTTTATCTTTTCATATTACTTATAATGTTAAAAAATAATATAAAGTTTCAATTTGAGAAAAAAGAAAACAATTAAAGACCACTTAACTCAAGAATTAAGTGCTAACCATGAAAATTTAATTTCACAATGAAACATATATTGCACAAATATGCCTCAAACTTATAAGTCTAAAAAATATAAATACAGTGCTATATAATATAGTGTCTGGTCTGTAGTTTCTTTCACTGGTAGAAACTGTAACATGAATTGTACAAGCAGAGAAATAGATTATGTTAAAATATATTGTCAGTGGATAAGAAGCCAAACTCTTTAAATAATTTAAAAAGGTTTATTATGAGACAAATTTGAGGACCATGGCATGGAGGCATGCTCAAGAAGCTTTGAGCAAGTGGACTTGCTGTTGTTGGGTTACAGTTTGGTTTTATATGTTTCAGGGAGACAGGAATTACATGTAAAGTCATCAATCCATACATGGAAGGAATACATTGGTTTGGCCTGAAAAGGGGGACTTCTCAAATTGGGTCTTACAGATTATAGGTGGGTTTAAAGACTCTTTGCTTTGTAATTGGCTAAAGAAATGAAGGTTTTTAGAATATATCTGTTAAATCTATTTTTAGAAAATAGATTTAACAGATATATTCTAAAAATCAGCAGTTTTCATTAAACCTAGCTGGAATTTTCATTATATCTAGAAAGAAGAGACAATGGTTCACAAATCTACCCAGAATTTCATTCCCCTGGCAGCTATTCTGAATCATTTAGTGGCTTCCTAAGTTTATTTTTGTACCTAGGGAACACTGGATCCAGCAGGAGTAGCAGTGCTCTTCTATGAAGCCAAGCCTGCATCCTTCAACACTCCAGTACCCCTGCATCCAAACTGGGAATCTACAGCCCATGGAAGAAAGGTTTTATATGGTTCATCTGGACTTCCAAAAGAAACTGTAGGTATGAACAATAGTTTTCCAAAACATTCCCATCCAAATAGTTTTCCAAAACATTCCCATCCAAATTCATTCCCATTCATTTCCACTTGCTATGGAAATGTACTAAGATAACTAAACTGTTATATGTGATTCTGTGCCATTTTCAATGTGATCACAAATTGGAGAGAAGAGAACTGCAGTGGTAGAAGTCAGGCAGAGCGATTGAATCATTAAAGTGATTTATAGAGACAGGAGCAAAAGTAAGAAATCTTGCTTGTATTCCTTCTAAGTTAGAGTCATAACATAAGGAAAGATGCCCATCATAATGATACAGCCATTACTGAATGTCGGGGGGTGGGGTGGGGGAATTGGTTACAGAACCTCCTGTAGATACCAAAATCCCAGGACGCTCAAGTAACTGATATAGAATGGCATAGTATTTGCATATAACTTGTGCACATCCTCCTGTACACTTTAAATAATCTATAGATTACTTATACTACTGTAACAGAAGGGTCTGGAAAAGGGCAAAATATTTTACGAGTTGTTTCTTTAAAACCCTTCACTCTCTTTGGGAATTAAAACCTGAATTCTGTCTGAGGCCAGTAATAAGAGAAGCAAATGAATGTTCTTTGTTTTCTAGTACCTTAACCACTTCAGTACGAGCGTCGACTATAGTCGAAAGCCACAAATGAACATGCACAGCGTAGTGTCGACTTTAGCTAACAGCTGTAATATGAAGGCGCACAGCCTAGCATCGACTTTAGCTGACAGGCATGATATGACTTTTCTAATTTTTCATTTATCAAAATAAAATTGTGAACATTTAAAAATAACAAAATGAAAACATATATGTATATGTTACCTATTCTGATTTACATTACAAGTAAAGCTGCTGTAAAGTAAAACAAGCTTTCAGTGCTTTAAAGCTTTCCTCATCACACAAGAGCAAAACGGATTCCTTGTCAATGCACAGCACAAACTATCATGTGGACTATGAGTGCCGGCTGTGGGCAAGGTTTCGCAGCCAGTGAGAGCCATACGGAAGTGGTTAAACTACAGCAGGTGGTTCAACAGAGTTGCTGGAGGTCACGAGATCATCTACACAGGAGATGCTATAGTTAAACAGCAATAGCTCAAAGCTAAAAGACACTTTCAAAGCTCTGTATTTCTGCTTAAAGAGGGGGTGATTTTTTTATTATTATGTTTTATTTCAGCATATTATAGGGGTGCAAATGTTTAGGTTGCATATATTGCCCTTGCCCCAGCCGAGTCAGAGCTTCAAGTGTGTCCATCCCCAAGATGGTGTACACCACACCCATTAGGTGTGTATATACCCATCTCCTCCTCCCCTCTCCCATTTGCCTGACACCTGATGAATGTTATATGTGCACTTACGTGTTGATTGGTTAAAACCAATTTGATGGTGAGTACCAGTGGTGCTTGTTTTTCCATTTTTGGGATATTTCACTTAGTAGAATGGGTTCTAGCTCTATCCAGGATAATGCAAGAGGTGCTATATCACCATTATTTTTTGTGGTTGAATAGAACTCCATGATATACATATACCACATTTTATTAATCCACTCATGTATTGATGGGAACTTGGGTTGTTTCCACATCTTTGCAATTGTGAATTATGCTGCTATGAACATTCTAGTGTAGATGTCTTTTTTATAGAATGTCTTTTGGTTCTTTAAGATGAGAACCTGCCACTCTCCTCACTTGCCAGCAAGGTAATAAAATTACCTTGCCAGCAAGGTAATAAAATTACCTTGCCAGCAAGGTAATAAAATTTCTTTCCCTTTCCTCAAACCGCTTGTCCTCATTCTTCATTCGGCCACAGGAAGAAGTACTGAACTTATAGTAATAATGCCAAATACAATGTAAATAGTTGTTATATTTGGATTATTTGGGGAAATAAAGACAAGAAAAAAAGTCTGCACATATTCCGTAGAGATGCAATTTTGTTTTAATATAGGTTATCCATGGCTGATTGACTCTATATGCCTATAGAACACAAGGAGAAGGAGGGCCAACTGTATTTTACCATTTGATTACGAATTTTCAGAAATGAACTGCCGATTTCATTATTATGAAGAAAGACATTTGTAAGCAATCAGGTTTACCATAGCACATTATCCAGTATGTTATATTTGTGGTATTTGATGTGTCTTTATCTGCTTAAATCTCTTTTCTTTATAGAAATAAGATCAATACAATGAACACATACCTTCTGTAAGTTCCATTTTCTGATGAATCAGTAACAGATCTAACTATCATAGTAAAAAGAAAATTAAATTGTTTGTTAAATGTTTTTTAGCCAACCAAATTAATATTCATGTTTTTGTTTAACAATGCATATATTCAATTATCAACAATTATAATTATCAAATTTTAATAATATTTTATATTAATTGTTAGTGTAAAAACTAGTTAGCACATTTTTCATTAAAAATACTGCATGTCTATTGAAAGCATTCACTATTAAAGTGGGAAAATTTATTTCAATCCACTTATACTTGAGTCCCTTTAAAAATTAGAAAATAATGTTCCTTCTAAATGAGGCTTATGAAGTATAAATATTTTTTTACTCCATTTTATCACTTCTGCAAGTCTGAAAATTATTCTTTTCAAGTGTACTTAATATCATCATTTGTGTGGTAAGTGATAATATCGTTGACATATTTTTTGAGACCCTGATTTTTTTAAAAACCTATTTAGGGCATTTCTTAGAAAAATATGGATTACTAAATATTTTTATAATGTACACTGCCCAGGTGCATTATGGGAAATTAGAGAGCGTGTAGGAGAGAGAATTCATTGACTAACTGAACATCATAGAAATATTTGTTGATAGATTGGACCTACAAAAACTTTATATTCCTATTTTACCCACCTGATCTCTAACACAAACCAAATATTAAATCTCACATTGCTGAGGAAGTCTATCATGTTGTATAGCAAAATCCAGGACTTCTTTTCCCCTTATTGGTGGCATTTGTAAAACTGAATCTTCCAAAGAACAGAAGTAATATCGTAAAAATGTGATTTTAGTAATTATAAAAAAAGATAAGTCACATGACACACAAAATATTAACTTTTTGGGGGGTACCACGTACTAAAGCTGAACTCTATGCTTTCCTAAAAGTTTCCATCACATGTCAAGGAAATTATTCAGTATTAAAATTTAAAAGCACAAGATCCAGAATAAAGGTACAAGGATTATAATGCTAGCCCTACTTCCTTAGGTTTTTATCATTGAGCAAGATATACTAGAACAAAGTCTAGAATACAGTGCTTAATAGACATTTGCTTTTGACTATTAACACATTATATTCAAGATCATAGAAAACAATTACCTATGACATTCATATTTTGCTTAAAAATGAACTTAACCTAGAAGAATTAGTGATCTGTAAACAGAACATGTTGTTTACCATTTCTGACTTTACTTAATAATAGTAAGTAAATAAGTAATTATTTAACCATAATTAATCTGGTAAGTAAACTGGAAGCACAGTTTTGTTTTTCATGAATATTTTATGTATTTAAAATTACCGGATTTAAATATTCCAATCCAGGTGGACAGTTTGATGGAAGTAGTGGTGCTGGCACCCACGGTACCACTGCAGGTCTACCTGGCTGAGTATATGTTGGCTGGTTCTGAACAGCTGGGCCAGCATGTAAATAGTCAGCTGGTGGCACTGGATAGACAGCTGGTAGGATCGTGTAGCTAGTTGATGGGACTGGGTAGCCAGCCTGGGGCCCATGGCATCCAGTATGTCCTGGGGGTCCTGAAATAGCAACAGGTAAAATAATTTGTGAGTGCACAGAAAAAAATCATCAACCCTTTTAGGATTACCCCAGCTATCTACAAACTGACTTCTCATGTCAGAAATCCTGTATCTGTGAAGGTTAATGTGTGCTTTTATCTTTAGAGATTTTTCAATGAAATATCCATGGTTTCCTATCTACTTCCATTTTGAGGGTAGTGGGCTGTAAATAGAGTTGGTCCACAGCCTTAAACCTCACCATTCAAAACTGTGCTGGAAAATATGCTTTAATACCTGAGAAAATGATAGTAAACCAACCATGATCTAGAGTCACCTACGTAAAGATTCTGGCATGCCTTCATGGGAAAGAGAGATAGGCCTAAAATAAAGGCTTTGAGCCAGCATTTTTAGGACCAAAGCACATGGTAAAAGTGATAATTCTGGAATTTTAATAAATGGCACCTCCTATATGTACAGAAGTAGGAGAGGTTTTGCTGTTACCCATCCCAAAGCACTGATCAACAGGGTCTAGGGATGCATTCCTTGGTCACAGCTGGAGGGGAGGATGCTGCCTAACATCTTAAAATGCCCAGAACATCCCCCTGAAAACAAGGAATTATCCAGCCCAAAATATTACAGTGCCACAGTTAAGTAACCCTTGTATAGTGGTAAAAACATGTCATTTCTTCTTATAGGTTCCAGATATTTGTCTGGGTTAACAGTTTGCCTGGGGTTTTAATCCACTGTATCCTAACTTCCTCTCAATATTTTTCTTAAAACACTGATTATGATATTTGGGTTATAAAATTTAATTTTATAATTTTAGCATTCTCAGTTCTCTGGAACAAAGGAAGGCAAAAGTTATAACAGTAAAAATTATTAAGCAGAATAGAGGAAGAGATTTAATAAATGTAATTTTTTTTAAAGTCAAGTTTTTTTTATTTAATACATTCTAATCAAATAATAACAGCAGTAAATAAACACTTAGAAAAACAGGCAGGTATCCCCCTATATCTGGAAGAAAATTAAGCCAAAGTATTCTACATGGTAGAAGGGAGACATCTGCTAATGTCCATGGTTAGACAATTCAAGGGCAACCTGGAAATTTCAAAAGCCATTTCCAAAAAACCAATGGCTACAGGTTGGGACACAGCTACTTTAAATGGTAAAATGTCTATATCTACACTGGTTTTTATTAACAGAGATTGAGTTGCACCTGTATAGCATGACATTCTTGTCTTTAGCCTTAAAGGAAAAGAAAAAAGTCTTTTCTATTTGCACCAGTTTGAAATATTTCTGAAGTAAGGCTCCCTTAAAATGGATTACTACAGTACTCATTCACATGAGAGAGTTCATACATGTAGTAAGACAAATACAGGATTTCGTGGTCACTTTTTTGGTTGATTTGGTTAATTGCATAAAATAAAGGATAAATACTCACACACATGATCTGTTTAACAAAACTCCTAGGTACATCAGAATGCAAAATATAAAATGTCCTAAAGTAGATTCTGATCACCAAGCACATAAAATTGAAGTTACGCCTGTGTCAGCTTAGTTCCTTCCACTTCTTCAGTACTGCTAGCTGCAGCTCTTTACTACTAGAGCTTGGACTTTTGACCTAATGGAAAGGAACCTCAGGAAGGCAAGGCATTCTGATAAATGCTCCTTCAGCCTTGACTTGGGACATTTTATTTTTCATTTAAAACAACAACTGGTCTCAGTCAGCCGTAAGAAGGGAAACATCCCTCTGGTGAAAATATCTGGGGAGGGGGAGGGGGGGCTTTAAATACCTAGCTACCTTGGCACACATTTAAATTAAATTGACTTCAGCTGTTCTTAGAAAGGATTCCGTGTAGTCATCCAGAGCAGTCCACTCAAGTTTTGGTTCTCTTTTACATATAGCTGCATTCGGAGATACTCTACGTGAGGCATGTTTAGAAAAAAAAACGCTTATACCTGGAATTTATATTCTTCCAAGTAATCTTTTATTTAGTCTTGTTGGTAAAGGCAATCCCCAGATGGTGCCGGTGCATTTGTTAATGGTGAGTCTACAGAGATGCTGCAGAGGTGGCGCTGACGCGCAGAGCGGTTTGGTCAGGTAAAGGTGAACAGTGCCATTACGGAGGGCTTCTGGGCCCGTCCGCTTATCCTTGCACATCTGAACATAGTAGTCGATCAGATGAACCACACTGTCAAATTGTTTAAGCTTGGACTTGACACATATGATAGAGTCCAATCTGAATTTCCCATCTTGATATTCAATCCGCAGATTAGTTGGTCCGGCTGATGTTTTAACAGATATTGTTAGTAGGTAGTCTGAGTGCGAGCTATCTCTAATCAAGAAAGTTCCTTCTGGTGCCTCTTTTAATTTCTCTTTGGCTTCATTAACAGTCATACTTCCCCAGTACCATCCTGTTTGCCCGAGCTCCCGCAGGGCCTTCGCCAGACGCGCCGCCTCCGGGGAGGGCTCCTCTGCTGACCCCGCGGTCCCCCACTGGCTCCGCGTGCCTTCCGCGCCATTCCGGAGGACTCAAGGCACCGCAGGGTCATGGGAGAAGGGTCACTGCGGCAAAGACAGGTGGCGGCCCGAGCTGGGGTCACAGAAGGACTCCCGTCCTTCCTGGAAGTCAGTGGGAACCCCAAAATGAGTCCCTGCGGGGTGCCCGAAATGCTGGCAGAGGGGGAAGGGATAGGGAGCTGCCGGTTCTTTCTCCCCAGGTCCTGGCAGACGGATAGCAAAGTCCCCCGCAGACGTGGTCACCCAGAGATCGCCTGCCGCGGGCGCCCGAGCTGCGGGCGCTGGGGATCCTGAGGCTGCGCGCCCGGGGCCCCGGCGCGCACGGCCCGCGGCCCACGCAGCGCCGGCGGCTACGGGGAGAGGGCTCATGCTTCCGGGGAAGCCCAAGGCCCGCGAGCCGCGGCGGCGGCGAGACCTGGCAAGAGTTAAACGTCTGTCCCCGGAGCAGTGTGTGCCAATAAATGTAATTTTTATGTTCCTTGCAAATGTGCATTACAGTTAAACTTTGTAAACTTATTTGTGTAGTTCAGACTAGTGGCTCCATAGAAATGAAATATGATTTCAAGAGACTGTGTTCCACAATACTTTAAACTAAAAGCCATGCAAATTTTCTTTTCTTTTTTTTTATTTTGGCATATTATGGGGGTACAGATTTTAAGGTTTCAATAAATGCCCCTTTCCCCCCTCCCCCCAACCATGCAAAATTTAATACTTATAATAGGCATTACCTTTAATTGGAACATTGATAGCAGGCTCATACACCATTAAAAACTAGGACTTGGCAAACAGATTAAATCACATGCAAATGCATTTAAATACAGTTTTTATCATTTATTCCTTCGACAATGAGTGAATATATACAGATCATCTACAATGTGACTGACTCCATTGTAGACTCAGAGGATACAGCTATCCAAAAGGCAATCTGCTCTCAGAGAATTTACAGTCAACTTTTGAGAGACAGAAAATAAATTTTAAAAAAAGATTTCATATTGTTGTAATGGAGAAAATACATGGGAGAGAGGACAGAGTACAAGGCAGTTACTTTAGTCTGATATAATTTATGTTGAAATCTAAAAGATGAGAAGAGGAAAGCTTTATGTGAAGATCTGTTGAGAGATGCTCCATGAGGAAGGAAAAGCAAATGTAAGAACCCTGATTTTGGAATGAATTTGGCATGTTTGTGAAAGAAGAATATCATAAGAGACAGAAAAAGACTAGGAATGACTGTCAGTAAAGCAACAGGAAGCAGTTCATCTAGGGAGGCCCTTAGTAAGGAGTTTGTATTTTGTTCCAAGTGTGACTGGCAAGCACTGGTAGATTTTAAGCAGAAGAGTGAGTTCCATGGTCTCATTTATATCTTACAGAGTTTTCAGAAGTGCTAAACATTGGGACTTACAATAGGGAAACACAGATACAAATAATATTCTTTCATTAACTAAAAAAAATAACAAAGGACAAGTTAATAAAAGATTTAATATTACAGGGAGGAAATTAAACACAAAGCAAATTACTTACTTTTTTGGTTCATGATTTAAATAGTTCTGAAAAAGAAGACCTGATATTAATAGGTTGTCTATACATTTATAGGTCCAATACAACTGTTGAAACAGGATATTCTATAACCACACATTCCCATTCACAGATATTCATTTTTATACATCTAGTCCTGACTTATCCAGTCATTTAAGCCCTTTGGGATCTACCCCTTTTCTCTTACTATGTTTCTTTCTGAATAGGAATTTAGACATTGTTGGTCAGCCCATGATGGTTAAAACTTTCTAAAAGCCTTTGGGGAGAGGGTCCAATGAGGCAGAAAGCCAAGAAGTAAAATGTGAGCCTACAGACCCCAGAAGTTAACCAAGCTAAAAACAGTCTTCACAACCTATGCAGCCTAAAGTTAGCATGTAGTTCAGTGCCCGGCCTCTCAGCCAGGCTCTAGGGATGGTCCAACAGATGAGCAGGAAAGGTTAATTTCAGGGCACACTATTGCAATTATCTCTGCAAATTTCAGGTCCTGTGGACCTGTTTTGCCCAACTTGAATAGCAAATTTGAGAGGGCTTGACACTCTGTTCTTTGCATCAAGACACGTTTTTTTTGTTTTTTGTTTTTTACCACAGAACCTACTCTCCAGAGTTTGTATAACTGTAGCACCTTGACAATCCAAGTGAAACTTTGTACTTGGTTGTTTCCACAGAAACATAAATAACAATAATATTCTATTCAATATTTCTGCCTTCCAGCGCCTTGATCCCATTCTAGTCTTTCCTATATTGTTCAGCCACTACTTTTTCTGTCTATTGTAGATCCCAACCCTCTTCAAGCCTATTAATTGCAATTAGCACATCAGGCAAAAACTCTGTTACCCAACTCTTTTACCTTGGACCCACACACTAATCCAAATTAGCCTTTCCCTTCCAGGTGCACTCCATTGTTGGCTGTCCTTTTATAAACTCCCACTGAGCAATCCTAAATGTTATATAAGTTACCTGATCTCTCTACACCCTCAGCTAAAATCTAGTATTCCCAGGAAGAAACTACCTCCTTATTCTTTGTTTCAACATTATTTTTTATCACTGCTGACTTCAAGCAGAAAATTTCATAATTAGTAAAACTCTTAAGAACATTGCAATATTCACCTTACAATTTTAAATTGTGACCTAAAATAAAATCTTAAGCCTCCAGCTGATTCAATGGCCCCCTTCTTGGCCAGAGGACCCCAGAAATACCCTAAAGCTGAGTTGCTAGCCTAGCCATGAGAAGGGTGGTTATACATGCCTCATGAATGCCCCTCTCCCTTCTTGAAGATATCCTTTGTAACTCATTAACAGGCTAAGGCTATACAAGATAAAACTTAAATCATACCTGCAGGTCATCAATTTACGTAACAGATCATTTGAGTCTCTGTATATGTCCAGTGGCTTGTCTCTGGTTAACAGATTTCCTTATCTTAAAACATTCCAAGCTTTTAGGCAAAACTTCAATTCTTTAATAAATTACAAATAAAAGAATCTTTAAACCCACTTATATCCTGTAATGACCCACTCATAACCTTGTAATTTCCCACTTCAAGATGTCCTGCCTTTTTGGGCCAAACCACTGTATACCTTCCATGTATTGATTTATGACTTTACATATAGTTCCTGTCTCCCTTAAATGTATAAAACAAAACTATAATCCAACCCTGGTGAAAGCATTTGCTCAAGTCTTGTTGGGCATGGCTCTCTGTGCCATGTTCAAACATATTTGTCTCAAAAAAAACTTTAAATTATTTCACAGACTTTGGGTTGTTTTTCATTGACAATATATTTAACCAGTTTAGCAATGGTTGAATAATTCAGCAAGGGTTTGCTTGACCCTGGGATAAATCCAAAAACGTGCTTGTGTTACTGATTTAACTTACTAGATTTTCTTAGAACAAAAGTAACCCCAGTTTGCATTAACTGGTCAGAAATCAACTGCTGTGGACTTCATCAGACCAGAAGGGCAGAAACAGTAAAATTTATATGTCTCTTGAAGTAATCTATAAGGTGAACAATATGCTAATAAACATGTAACCAAAGTCAACTAAAAGTTTTCACTAAAAGCTACATTAGTGTTTTAGGTTTTATCAGGTGAAGAATTATATAAAGAAGACTAAATTTATACATATAAAAGATCATGATTATTTTTGTCAATCTCACACCAAAAGAAGCACAACTTCCAACTAGAAACAGCAATAGTAATAATAATAATTTTACTGAACTGGAAGTTAAGACTTCTCGAGCCATTTTAGACTCACTATGCCTTGAAATCAGCAAGAAAAGAACCCATTTACTGTGCTGGCTGGGGTGACTGATTCTCACAACTAAGATGAAATTGGACTAGTACTCCACAATGAAGGTAAGGAAGAATATGCTGGAATACAGGAAAACTCATAAGGCATCTCTCAGTATTACCATGTTTTGTGATTAGAGAGAACAGAAAACTACAATCCAATCCAGGGAGGACTAACAATGGTCCAGCCCCTTAAGGAATGAATGATTGGGTGACTCCACCAGGCAAAGAACCAGCACCACCTGAGGAGCTTGTTGAAGGCATCATAGGGAATACAGAAAGGGTAGTAGATGAAGGTTGTGACAGGCCCGGCGTGGGAGCTCACACCTGTTATCCTAGCACTTTGAGAGGCTGAGGCAGGAGAATCCCTTGAGCTCAGAGACCAGCCTGAGCAAGAGTGAGAACCCCATCTCTACCAAAAATTGTAAAAAAAATTAGCCGGGTATGGTGGTGCATGCCTATAGTCCCAGCTACTCAGGAGGCTGAGGCAAGAGGCTCGCTTGAACCCAGGAGTTTGAGGTTGCTGTGAGCTAGGCTGATGCCATGGCACTCTAGCTTGGGTAACAAGAGTGAGAGTCTGTCTCAATAAAAAAAAAAAAGGATAGTTACAAATACCAGTATAGACACATGACCAGTTACAGAAATAAGGACTATAATTGACATAATCATTTTCTTGTGAATAATGTGTACATTTGTTTTATTTTCTTAATTTCTTATCATGTAACATAAGATATTATTGATTTTATATCATAGCGTTTAAATATTTTAAAATTTACATCATAGTTACGGGATAGCAAGGAGAAGAATAAAAAATCACTCAAAGACTTTACCTCCTTTTCTGGGGAAGGGATTAATTTTCAGTTGTGCTCAGGATAATCGTATTATGTTACGTGAAATTATAACTTTGTTTTGTCTTTATTGTAAGACTAAGTATATTTTAAGAACATGCATATAGGTGCCAAATTGATAAGGGGTAGACCTAGAATGGTGGATTTCATATGTCAATTTCACTGGCCACTGGATACTCAGATTAAATTTTATATGTTGACATGTCTAGAGGGTGTTTCTGGATGATCTTAGCATTTGAATCCATGGAAGGAGTAAAGAGTTTGCCCTATTCCGTGTAGATGTGGGTGGGCTACATCTACTCCTTTGAAGGTTTAAATAGAACGAAAAGGGGAAGAGAAATTCACCTCTTCTTGTCATATTGGTTGGGCTAGAACATTGATCTTCTTTTGCTCTCAGGGTTCCTAGTTCTCACGCTTTTCAACCCAGACTGGAATCTATATCACTGGTTCCCCTAGCCTTTGGGCTCAGATTGAATTATACCTCTGGCTTTCCTGGGTCTCTGGATTACAGACTGCTGATTGTGAGACGTTTTAGCATACAAATTGCATGAGCCAATGCCTTATAATAATAAATCTCTTTTGTTCTATTTCTCTAGAAAACTCTAACTAATATGATGGGTCTATTCTAAGACATAACATTATTAAGTTTAGGAAATGATTGGGCTATGCCCTGCTTGAATTAGTTAATTAATTTAAGATTATAACTTTAAATAATTGCTTCCATCATTACTGAAAAAGAAATTTTGTAACTACCTCAGGGAAAGAGAAAATCATATTTATGCTGCACCAAAAAAAAAGTCTGTAATGAAGTCATATATTGTACCATTGGAATTATAATTACTCCAGGACAAACACAGAACTTCAAATTACAATCTGCTTATTCTATGATGAGACCCAGCTGTTTTACGTCACTTTTCTATCCAATTGCATAAATCCACTCATTTCCCTTTTCATGTATTTTTCATTTCCTTGTACTTGTTTATTGTTCAAAGCTCTCCAATTTTTGTAAACACCAAGGTGGCATTAAGAGAAAGTTATGCCATTAGGAAAGTTCAAGAAAAAGGAGCCTCCAACCCCTCTCACATTTCTCACTAAGCAAAAGTCACTTGTACTAACCATGTATCTCAAACTGCTAAACCAGAAGAAGCAATGACTACAGGTTCTTGGAACTGGAAAGTGGCCATGCCAAAACTTTCAGGAATAACAGAAATAAAACCACATAGGTAGTGATCTTGGAGAAGTAGGGACTTGTCAAATACTTAAAAGTAATAAAAGCTAACTTTCACTGAGTACTTTCTGTAGTGCTGGGCACTGCTCTAACAACTTTACATAAATACATGCGATATTCTGTAACTCTTTTAATAGGTACACAACTTCAGAGATGAGGTAAAGGAAGGAACGTACACGAAGAAACCGGCTCAGAATCCACAGATAGGAAGCAGTACAGGGAGGATTCAAACTCAGTCAACCTGACTTTGGAGCTAATGGCCTCAGCCACTATGCTAAGTACAGCCTCTACCTGTCATACTGCTCAGTTATGGTAGAGTGCCTACCATAGTTTCGGGTTCCATTCTTAAAATTAATACTTACTGTTAAAAGACAGCCAGTAGGCGCTATTAATCCTCCCCTTTAATACTCCCCCTATGCTGGCAGATACCCTTGAGCTCAGCTTCTGGCCATGATTCAGGCTGCCCTCTGCTCTAAAGCGGCCCAGCTAAGGGGAATCAGAGCCCTGCGGGGTGTTTTCAGGCAGGACACACTTCATCAAAATAATTCTGGGGCAGATAAGGGGTACCGCCGGGCCAGCTGGGGCCCCTGGCTGCGTTCCCGCTCCACTTCCAGCGCCCCTTCCGGAGTCCCCTGGGACCTTTGCCCCCCACCCTCTAACGAAAACACGGTGACCAGGCCCCAGCCCCTCCCCCACAGCCGCGCCCTCCCCGAGCCCGAGTGTGCAGAGAAAACCGCCTACGCCGCCCGGAGGGTGTCGCCCCTCCCCTCGACCCAGGGGCTGCCAGGCACAGCTGTTGCGCAACCTCCGCTGAAGTCAGCGGGAAAGGGGCCTCGGAATAACCGCGGCTCAGGGTTCGTTTCCTGCACCCTCCCAGTCCCCGCGCTGGAGCTGGGGATCCCGCGTCGCCGCCGGAGGGCAGCCGGGCTGGAGGCTGCACCCCCGCCGAGAGCGAGGCCGAGTCGCCCTCCCCACTCCACGCCCCCTTTCTGGCTCCTTGGAGAGGCTCGGAAACACTCTACGGTTACGGTCAGAGGTGAACGAGGAAGTGCACAGCAGCTGGAGAGTGGCGCCCTCCGGGGTGCGGCCGTCGGGGAGGTGCTGCAGGGAACTTGCTTGCACTTGCGCAGTCTCTCCGACTTGGACCTCCACGCCTTGGAGTCCAGAGTGGGCGGAGGGGCTGTTAGAGTACAAACGAGCGCGGGGAGTCAGGATTGTTTTTCTATACGGCCTCCTTTTTTCCCAGCCCTTGTCCTCTTCCTTTTTCTTTCCACCAAAAGCTGTTTTTTAACTTTTTTTAAGGGTGAAAGTAACCAGATATGTGGAATCTTTAACTTCCTGGCCCTGCGACTGGCACACCAACATACAGTAAACACTCGTTGAACTGAAGTTGTCATTGATATTTTTTTCTGTAAGAATTTTATTAAAAAAGTAACACATGATTTTCTGAACTGTAAAACCATGAAAAGAAGTGAAACTTTACTCTCTCTCCCACTTTTATCCCCACTACCCTGCTAGCCAAGGGTAACGGACACTTAAAGATTTACTAAGAGAGGTGAGGGGAGAAGAAAAAAAAAAAAAGTAGAAGGGAGGAAGGTGGAGAAAGAAATTGAGAAAGATGGGAAAAGGAGGGATGATGGATAAAGCCACCTGGGTGTTTTGATAAGTTTAGCCTAAAGCTGCTTCCTTACATATTTTAAGTTTGGCTTAAAGGTTCTCTGTACATAGTGAATTGTAACCTAACCAGATGTGTAAACAGGCTGAAATCTACTATTATGCCAATCATGCGGTTTTGGTAAAAGGCAGTCAACTGTCCAAATTCTGTTTGAATAAGGCAAAGGCTGAGCTGGAACCAATTCAACTGTTTCTGTACCTCACTTCCATTTTCTGTGCATCATTTTACTTTTTCTGTCCATAAAGCTTCTTCAACCACGTGACAGGGCTGGAGTTTGCCTGAACTTGTGCTGGTTCAGGGGCTGCCTGATTTGAGAATCATTTTCTTGCTCAATTAAACTCTGTTAAATTTAATTTGTTTAAGGTTTTTCTTTTAAGAGTTTTAATTATTTCTCAGTGACCTTGTGAAAGTTACCTGACAACCTCCACACCTGTTTTGTAATCTGTTAAATGAGGGTAGTGATGGTATCAACCTCAGGATTTTTATGATGATTGAGGAAGTTAAAACATATAAAGTGTTTAGAATGATGTCTTCCGTAGAGTAAACATTCAGTAAATGTTATACATACATAGGAGGGGACTTCGAAAAGTTCATGGAAAAAATAGACTAAAAGATAAAAATTAGAAATACAAACTTTATTTCTCAGCTTGAGTTCCATCAAGTTCAAGACACTTTTGTAAGTGATGATACCAGCCATTTAGTCTATTCTTGAAGAACTGGGTCCTGGGAATTTAATCATGTCAAGGCAGTCTGTTTTACATTATCAACTGAAGAAAAATGGGTGCCCTTTAAAGATTTTCTAAGATTAGGAAACAAAAATCAGAAGAAGCCAAATCAGGACTGTAAAGTGGTTGCCTGATGGTTTTCCAAGTGAAACTCTCAAAAAAAAATTGCCTGTGTTTGATGAAAGGAATGAGCAGCAGCATTGTGGTGGAGAAGGACTCTGGTGAAGCTTTCCCAGCTATTTTTCCACTAAAGCTTTGGCTAGCTTTTTCAAGATACTCTCATACTAAGCAAATGTTATCTTTCTTTGGCCCTCCAGAAAGTCAACAAGCAAAATGCCTTAAGTGACTCCAAACTCTGTTGCCATGGCCTTTCCTTCTGCTTTTGCTCTGATCGGATCCCTTTCACTTCTTGGTTGCCAATGCTTGGATTGCACATTTTCCATGAACATTTTTGAAGACCTCTCAGGTATATACACATCCACTTAGTATTTTCTTTTTCATAAATAGGATTATTTTACACAAACTGTTCTCTGATGTGTTCTTCACATAACAATTCATCTTGGGAATCTCTATACCTCTAATACAGAACTGTATCATTAATAATATAGGTGTAGTTTGTTTCCAAGTTTTTTTGCAATTATAAATTATGCTGTAGTCTTGGCACATATCTTTTTGTACATAATACAAAAAATCATGTCATTCTAGTCTTCTGTCGTGGGAATGTTTGTTTTCCCACACCTCTTTAATTCTAGAATATCATTCTAAATGTTTCCTACTGTGAATGGCAGGTATTTTTTGTTACTTCTGATTGTTAATGAGATTGAGCATTTTTTCATATGATTAATTGTTTTACAATTTTATTCTGTGATTTGATGTATTAATATACTGTCTATTTTTTGTTGGATTGGGATTTTTTTTCCTTTTGGTGATTTTTTAGTCCTCTTTATATATTGTATATATTGTGGATCTGTTAAATAAGGTACAGTTCTCTTGCCTAGTGGGCTTTAAACTTATTTAAAGTTGCTCTCACTATACAGAAATTTTCATTATTAATTATCCTTCCTTTTTTAAAAATTTTGAGTTTTGGGCTCTGCATCTTATTATAAAATGCCTGTTGTACCTCAGGATATCCATCATGATTTCTTTGATACCTGTTCATTTCTTTATTGCCAAGCACTTGGGATTTTGTAGTAATTTTTAAATATCTGTTATTGTATTGTGGTCCAAGCATATGTTGTATATAGTTTCAGTCATTTGAAATCTTTTGGGGCTTGCATTGTGGCCCTTTGGTACACAGCTAATTTTTGTAAATATGTTATAATTACATGAAAATTAGGTGTATTCCGCAGTTTGGGGGACAGTGATCTATTTTTTTCTATTGGGTTAGTTTTTTAACTGTGCTGCTACTTTATCTGATATTTTGTCTGCTTGAGCTATCAATTATTCAGAGGGATCTTGAAATTTCTATTACAGTTATGGGCTTATTATTTCTGTTTTGATTTCTTTTCATGTATTCTGAAGTTATGTCTTCAGGCAAAAGCTGCCAGTTGTTTCTTCCTGATGAATTGAACCTTTATGATTATGAAATGTCTCTCTTAAGTTCTAGTAATGGTTTTCCTTTAAATTCTGTTTTATGTAAAATTAAAGTTGTTCTTATAAGTTAAGAATTTTAAAAGAATATGTATCATTTTTCCCCTTATCTAGCATCAAGGTCAAAGAGGAAAGTTTTCTCTGTGCTCTCCCCTTCCATGTGGTGGGGTTTACTTTCATTTGACAGTGTAGAGACTTTTTATGATCTCAGATTTTAGCCAGGGTCTTCTATTAACTTCTCGTTTATGATGGGCCCTGAAAAACTTATTTTTTATCTTAACATCTGCCTTAGTCCATTAGGGCAGCTAAAAGAAATTACCATAGGTCTGGCTGGGTTGTACCTCAATTTGGTGAAAGCCAGAATGCCTCAGGAAAGGGGCTTCTAAGAAAATTTTAAAATCAGTAGCAGGCTTATCTTTTTTTTTTTTTTTTGCCTGCAGGTCTGGATGATAGACCAGTCAGTGTTGGTGGAAAATATTTCATAAATGACTTTCAAAAAGTCATTTGCAAATTTTGGGGATTTGGGTGGCCCAAAGTAGATCAGGTGGGACTTATTGGGTCATTGATATCATTCTCAGGAGAATACCATTCTGCCTCTTTTATCCATTTTTAGGCTTCCCCAGGTCCCACTGACATGTGTACTGGTAGATATTAGATATCTCAGAGTTATAGGTTCTAATTAAGATCTTGAATTTTTCAGAAAACTTTGAGGGTCTTTCCTACTAAGAAGGAAAAGAATTTTTTTATCTGAGAAATGTAATTCCCCTTTAAATTACAAGGCACAGAGAGAGACATTAAAATGTGATATTATAACTGTCATATCTCACTTCTGCCTTGAGCTAAGTATAGTAACTATCTCATAGACACCTGTTGTATGGACTCTGGACCGAGTGTGCCACAAAGTAGCCATAAATTAATCTGACAACGCTGTATGCTGGGCACCATAACTCATATCCTGTAATTTACCAGTGTATAGCCAATGACTAATCAATGTTACTTCTATAAAACAATGAGAATTCTTGACAAACAACTTTTATAATCGCCTCCTATCCTGATTTGTCCTTTTTTCTTTAAAAACTTGAGCCCCTCCTTTGTTCTCTGGAGCACTTCCCTGGGTTTCCTGAGCTGCAGTCTTCAACCTTGGTCCAAATAAACTCTCTATATTAATTTTGTTTCAGTTTCTTTCTTTAGGTCAACACTAGGTTTAGGAAATTCTTTAACTTTAGCCCTAAGCCTTATTTTTGTCCAGGGAATGTCAGTAATTCAAGGATTATGTACTGAATTTTCAGGTGGTTTTATCTCTTAAGGGAACTGTGTAAATGTTTTGTTTTTTTCTTTTTTGTCAGAGAAGAAAGGCAATTCAGATGGAGTTGATAAACTGAGCCTTCAAGCAAAGTAGGATGGAGCAGAGCAGTAGGAGTCATAGCAGTTTTACCATCCTTTGTATGAGAGATATCTTGCATTTTTAGCTTTTATTTGCTTTTTAAAATGAATCTTCTTTAAAAAAAAAAAGCTTATTTATAATCCTTTTTGTCTCTTTGAGGCTTCTGAATGCCAATTAAAAAAAATATAGGAATCCCATTCTCTCTTCCTAATTCAGGAGGCTTTGGGAATCAAGTTCACTTCTTAGATGGACAATCTTGTTCAACTGGAACATTTCACAAATGGCTATTATAATTCTAAATTATCTTCAGGAAGTGAAAGGATGACTTTGCCAATGAACTATCTCACAGAAAAATATAAATCATCTAACTTGCTGTCTCTAACTCTCTGTCTCCAAAATTGATAGCAGGGACCTTAACCTTAAACCCAACTCCTATTCTTGAGATTGATTGCCTGTTTTAGGATTAACTAATCGCCTACTGAGAATATTTTTTTAGCATCTGAAAAGACCTGAGCAAACAGAAAAGAATTGTAAATCCTCCTCGTCAGACTGGTTAGGCCAGAATACAGATGTGAATGTCTCCATGGGAAGAAAAAAGAAGAGAAAATCCAGACACAGTAGCCCACCACTTTTGTTATCAACTGACAGCAATCACCATTTTTCCCCCTTCTCTTTGTCTCCATAAAAACCACACTCACCTTCTGCTCAGGCCCTGCACTTACTTTCTTCCTCCCTGTGCCCAGCCTCTTGCCTCTTCCTCCTCCTCTCTCTTTCTCTCTCTCTCTCTCTTTATTTCTATTTCCCTTCCCTTTTCTCTCTCTCTCTTTCCATCTTTTTCTCTTTCTCTTTTTCTTTCTCTCTTTCTCTCTCTCTTGCTAAGAAAGCAAAATAAAATTTTTCCATCTTTATATCCTAATCTTTGTGTGAGAAATCTTAATCTACCTGTGCTATGAGCACCTAGTGAGTTCCACACCCTTGCAGTAAGATTTTGCCACTTTTGTAAATATTTGCAGCTTCTGGAGCCATAATTCATATACGTGAAAAAGGCAGGTATACCAAAAAGTGGACTCTCAGATCTTTAGAAATTAAGGAACCCATTTTCATGTTGGGTCTTGAGTTTCTAAGAGCTGAGATAAAAGCCTAAAAAGGAAATGCTATGGCATTGGATCGTGTGATGCTTTTTTAATGTACCTCATCTCCCAGACATTTCTTATAGCTGGTAGGCATCTAATGTCAAACTGGCCCATTCTATGACCAGCTTACCCTTTCACAAGAGTCTCATTTTTGTGATGGCAAGCACTCGGCTATTAAGTGCCAACCCATGCCCACAAGTCAAGTTGTGGCTTTGGCTATGAGATCCCTTTGACAAACTTAGCCAGTAATTTTTCCAGTTTCTGTTTGACCCAGTCAGACACCTCTCCTGCTTAAGTGTGCAAGAAAAACAAATGAAGAAGATAGACTACAAATACCTGCAGTTTCTGAAAGGTGGAGTTCATGTCTCCTGTAATAATAACCATTTATTGCAACTGCTATCAGTTACCTTTAAAACTATAGCTCTTGCCAGTGACTTGTCAGCTGGTCAAGTGCCCTCTCACTGCACAAACTAACCCGTGATACCCAGAAAAGCCATAAGGGATCAGGAAACTCAATGCAAAAAAGAGCAGAGCTTTGGACCTGAAAGGAACTTACAACTCTCAGAGCTCCATGAGGAAGACAGAGGATCTCAAAAAGGAGGTCAACTGACACCTTTCCTGTGATCAAGGGGTCTCAGGGCTGCTTCCTCAGGTAGCTTCATGGTTACGAGAACTGTCAAAAGACAAAATCATAAAAAATTTAGTTATGAATATAATTGGTTTTTACTCAAAATTTATAAATTAGGGAAGTCTCCGTTCTACAAAATTATATGAAAGCTCCTGAACAGGCAATACCAGGACAGTGTTTTGTAAGGTAGGAACAAGGAAACTGAACAATAGAAAAATAACTGACTGGTTAACATTAGAATACTTCAGGTTTCCTTTTCACAAGGGCTAAAGAAGGGAGGACTTTCTTATTAATACTGACTCAGATAGACTAGAATCTCCTGTTTTCAAGAAAAACCGGCTGTTTTGGGATGTATCTGCTTTCTTAAAGTTTAGTTTGATTGTGTGGCATTTTAGCATGAGTGATTTCATTTTTGTTTGGTCTTTTGTGACCTTCTGCAGAAACACAGTCTGAAAGGATGGCCGCTCATAATTTTTATTTAAAACTTTAAGATGATTAACTATTCTGCACTCCTTTCTGATGCCAATTTTACCATCTTTATAATCACCATACATATATAAAATCTCTAGCTTGCACCATTTTTTAACCTTTTTTCTAAAGCACTATCTACAACATTACTGTGTTTTCAATATGTATAGTGAAATGTTATAAAGTATGTTTGGATATCTTCATTGTTTTTATTTAATGTTAATGTTGTATATGTATATTTTTTCATATATATTCCTCCACAT